ACCAGGTCAGGGGAGGGCGACCGGGACATGCTCCTGATGGACCGGCTGGCGGAGAGGCTCAAGGTCGTGCCGTTCGTGCCGCAGTCATGGGGGCTGCAGCAGTAGATAGATAGATGGGGATGGGTGGGAATGTATTCTGCTGTGATGCCGCGCCCGCTTTTTGCTGCTCGTGACGCGATGGTGGCGTGTAGCTTGGTTTGCATGTCGCGACTTCGAATTTGTCAACAGAAAGACACACGAGTGCACTCGTCGAATGGTATGTGTCGTCGATACAGAGGCATGATACATTAAACCGACACACATCACGCCAGCAGAGGGTCGAGCTGTGAACACGAAGCAATGCAGCACATCGTGACACCCGCCAGCCGTCAGTCACTCATTCATCACATCAGACCAACAGCCACCCGGCTAGTCAGGCAGTCGGGTATACACCGTCGACCAGCTATGTCGCCCCCTCCCAGAGAGATGCGCTATGATCGACCCCCCACTCCCCTCATCAGCGGCACTAATCCGCCCCGCTGCCCCGCCAACAGAGTGATGCGACACCTGCAGACATTGTTCCACCCCACCCCACAAGGAATGAGACGAGCCATGGCATTGTCACGCCTACTCTCCCCCTCACACGAATCCCCCCTCCCGCCTCACCACTGTGTCGTCAGCTAAGCTGTCTATCGTAGCACTGTCCTCTCCAGTCCGTATTTGTCCAGCAAACGGCGGGCAGCCGACACGGCAATGGGATAGCGCTCCATGTCTTTGTTGCCCTCTGTCGGCGCCTCGGTTGTCCGGAGGCCGATGCGGCCATCGGCCAGCCACAGGTACGCCGCAATGGTGTCGGCCGCTGCGGTGCCCTTGAGGATGATGAGTCGCCGGCGGCCGTCATCTCCCGGGGCAAATGGATGCTCATCGATGCAGTCGATGGTCTTGTAGCCCTCAATGGTCGGTGCCGTCAGCAGAGACCGATACCGAGTGTCGCCACGGCCGACATAAGCATCAGTCACCAGCTCCTCCCCCACCCCCTCTTGACCATACCACCGCACCAGAAGCATCCACTTGAGGAATGCCGTGAAGGTTGGGTAGACATAGTGCCCACTGCGGACGACGGGATCGCTGTCCTTGTATGTGCTGCGGTAGCGGTGGTTGGGGGGCAGATCGGTGAAGGGAACCGTCGTGAAGGGAACGTTGCCGATCGTGTAGCGCCGCCTCGCCACGCCACCCCCGCCATCGCCTCCCTGCTGCCCCCCTGCACCATCGCCCGCTGCCCCCTCCTGCTGCTGCTGGACCGCGGCATCGTTGTCTCCTTCATCCTGCTCGTCCACATCGCCCATGGCATTGTCGTCCTCCTGCTCCTCCTCATCGCTGTCCTCCATATCCTCGCCGTCCTCCTGCTCCTCCATCTCCTCCTCCACCTGCTCCAGCGCCAGGCTGGTCCCCCGGTAGCTGAGCAAGTGGCCGAATGTCTTGTAGACGGCCAGAGCGAGTGGCAGCTCATCGAAGGCTGAAGCGGTGGGCAGGTGGTCGGCCATCCACTCAGCCGACAGCCGCAGGGGCAGTGCCTTGATAAGCTTGTAGTTGCGCGCTAGGTGGATGAAGTCGGTCATCTCTTGCCACAGCTCCCCTCCTCGCTCAAGCACAAAGGCGGATTTGCTGTAGTAATCGAACAGCGACCGACGGACATCGACGACGCCGGTCAAATGGTTGCTGTCGAGCGAGCCGTTGATGCGCTTGAGCATGAAGGCCTCGTTGATGAGCTGAGTGCCGTGTGTCTTGCTGGTGGGGCGGGCCGAGCAGACGGCCTCACACACAGAGAGCATCGGGTTGATATTCCCACGCCACACGTCGTTGGCCGTCACGTCCACGCCATTGTCACCATCAGCAGCAGTGGCTGTGGGTGGGGTGGTGGCGGTGGTGGGGTGAGGGGGCCCAGGTTGCTGTGTGGTGTCTGGTTGACAGGGGGGAGGGGGCGGGGCGGGCGAGATGTGGTGGGCGATGGTCTGAATGGCACTGGACATGGCCGAGAGGGTGGGTATCTTCGACTTGACAAATGACCACTCCTGGCCGATGACGGGTGCCTGATTTCCCATGACAACAGACGACAGCCGCCCGTCTCCCTCGCTGGTCATTATCAGAGGCTCGACGGCCGACACCTCACTGGCCACCTGACAAACGAAGGACACAGACAGATGTCACGGCATCTATCCCTCAGTGGGTCGATATCTGTGTGTCCTTCACCTGCTCTATGAGTGAGTGTATGGCCGCCAGCCGACCACACACATCGCCCGACCCGCCACACACAGGGGGGGAAGCCTGCACACGGAGATCAAGTGAGGCGCAACTCAGTTGTTCGCATAGTGGCGCCTCACTCACCGACGGCGATGGAGTGAGCGCCTCCTGCTGTGGAAGAAAGGCCGCACGACTCATCACACTCAGCCCTACAAACACACACAAATGCACACACATGAGGTGCACGGCTCGACCTGTCCGTCTGGGAGCCGCGGGAATCGATCTCACCTGAATCCCCAGCGGCGCGGTTGTCACGCCGGCGCTTTGCGTCACCTCCAACACAGTCAGCAGAAGAAGGCATGACTTCATCTCTGACACAGGCAAGATGGCACACAAACAGTGACGGCCATCCCGTCTATCGCTTCATGTGCTCATTAACGAACGATTTGACTGAAGCAGCGCAGGAGCAACAGATCCACGCAGCCTCCTCCGAGTGACTCTGTATGACATCGCACAGCACAACACATCAAAGACAGCACGCGGGTGGGCGCTTCTAAAGATCACGTCAGCCACAACTCACCTGAAGAACAAGCGCAAACGAGCGAACGAACGATTCCAGCCTAGGGTGCTGCACGAAACCGCTGCGCACGCTGCGAAAAGAAGCGGATCGAAAGTTTCCCATTTGTCGGTGACAACGGCTGAAAGCTCTGCCGAAGCATCTCGCGTCAATTCCAGAGGAAAACTGCAAAGATTCAATCCGGGAACAAGCAGCGGACTGAGGGTGAGAAGGGTGCAAGAGGCATATGCCTCTCTGACTCATGTAAGTGATGCATCATGATCTTCTGTGCTTTGGCCGTGTGTTTCAGAGCTGTTGCGGGCTGTTGGGGTGTGATATGTCTGATTCGGTGCCGGACGACCTATGGCGACGGCGCGTGTTGCCGTGCCTTCTCGTGTGTGATGTGGTCGCCCTGCGAGAGAGCAGTATGGCCGGGGCGGCTCTGATCACGGCCGGGGTACTGCTGCAGCGCATCGATGCCTCCCTCGCCCATCACGAACTCAGTGGCCTCATCGATGTCGACCGCGACCCCTCCCGCTTGCCCTACCTGGTGCGGTGCTGCTATGTGCTGGAGCAGGGCAGCAGCGAGTGGCGTGTGATGGGCAGGTTTGTCCGCCTGGGCACCATCTATGGACTGGCCACCACCAATGGGTTCCCACTGGTACTGTCGGGGGCGTGCCTGGCCAGCGAGGCGGCCTTTCATCGGCTGCCGGCCGCCATGGCCATCTACAAGACATTCGCGCATCTCCTCAGCTACGACGGCCGCAGTCTGGCACTAACAGCCAACCGACGACGGAGAGTATCGGATCGCTGCTCTTCTGGATACGTTTCGTGTGGTGCCGCTGCGTGAGCTGCCCGCCGGTCACCCCTATGCTGCTAGCTACAAGCGGACTGATCCCGTCATCCGCTGGTGCCGCTTTCTCTCCCGATCCTTCACGGGGTTTCTTCTGCGCCAGATTGACTACACTTGGAACACTCATTACCTTAACCGCAATTCGGTGCTGTCTGCTAGGAACGAGGAAGGTGACCGCCTTCTCACCGTCGGTGACGTCCCTGAGCGGCTGGGCATCACAGCCGACTATCGCTATGACGGATGGGACCCGAATCCAGCCAATTGGACTGACTGTCGTTATTTGTGGGTCAGCGGCTTCCGGCCTAACGACACCGTCGTCGCGCAGCTGAAGACGGGTTGGGGCTGCGTCGATCTGTATACGACCGAGGCAGACGCTGCTGCTGCGTCTGCGTCTCTCGATGAGCGTCTCCCCGTGTCGACGCCCCTGTGGCGCGGGTTGCTTAGGCATTTCAACCTGGAGAGTGATGTTTTTCATTGATCGTGGCCCACCCATGGTGTCGTTGATGCTGGTGTGATGGGTCACGGGCGGGCGGAGTCAGTCATGTGGCGAGGTGAACCTGAGCTCGGGAGTGAAGTAATTGAAAGAGGAAGGGTGGTGGTAATGTGATGGATGGATGTGAGTGAGGTACATAGTCGATAGAGGGAGGGGACTGCCTAGGTAGGGCTGTTCAAACTGTGCTTCGGACCCTTGTGGGGGTACCGGCTTTGTGGAATATTTTTTCCAATCTGTCTGCGTCCATGTGTGGATATGCAGATTCAAGCCGATGACTGCTTCATGTATGGGGTGTGTGTGCGTGTATGTGAGGTTCTACATGCCATATGTCGGCCGGCATGTGTCTGTCAGAGTGTCTGCGTATGTGGGGACACTAACAGCACAATGTCCCAGTCAATGAACATCGCACACAAGGCTGTCTGTCTGTCTGTCTTGTCTGGCTATCGATCGCCCTCTTGGCTTCAACCTCTACACCCATTCACTCCTCCGATCTGACTCAATCGACCACACCAAAAACACCACCACACACAAAAACGGCCAGTGTGCTCCTTACGTCAGACCACGTCAGGTCACATCCACGTCAGAGACTGCACAAGGTAGGATCGGGGTGAGCGAGGCCGCTCCCTCCAGGCCCGCCCACCGTGATGGCCATGCCCATGAAGCGCAGGGAAGGACCTGGCCGATGTCGGCCGATACCAATCCACACCACCACCACCACCACCTCTGTCGGTGTCGCCATGTGGAGCTGACCCTGCCCCTGCCCTTCTCTCCTCGCCATCCTGCTGCTGCCGTGCTTCTGGTCCATTATCTGCCATCAGTCGAGCACCGACAGGCTCGCTCACTCCCCTCGTCAGGGTGATGCCGTCACACTTGGGGTAGGTGCTGCATCCATGGGGCGGATCGGCGCACGCTTCGCTGGCACTCGCTGCTGGCTGCTGTGGCCGTGGTAGTGGTGGTAGCAGGTCCGATGATGACGACTCGGGCTGGGTTATCGGGGGAGGGGGTGAGGAGGGCCCACCACCGGGACTCTGTCTGAGGAGCTGTGCGATCCAGCGACGCCCCTTCTGGCGAATCTTTCCCACCAGACGGCCCGTTGCCGCGCGAAGAGGTGGGGCGGGGGCCGCAGCAGACGGGTCACTCGTCGGCTGATACACACGCCACCAGTCTGCACGACCAAACACACCACACACCAGGAGAGAGAATTGAGGACATATTAGCAGCTTCCTCCTCTCTTTTCTCTATGTGTGCTGCACACCTGAGGCCACCGCAGGCGACGCAGCTGTCGAGGGCAGCGCGGCCGGGGATGCCTGTCCCTCAGGCGACGACTGAGTCAGCTGCACCATCCGGAAGCGAAAATGGACTCGCCGCTTCCGGAAGACACTGGCAGAGTTGCTCCACCGAAACGTGTAGCGCACCAGAGGCCGCGAGGGCAGGGACGGGGAGAGGGGAGACATGTCAGGCCCTGGCACAGAGACGGCATGGCGAGGGGGGAGGGGGGGCAGCAGCAACGGGCCACCCATCCCGTCAGCTCTCTCTTGCTCCGCCGGAGCTCGTGGTGCTGGTGCCGCTGTGGCAGCTGTGGCGTCGCTCTCCTCTTCCAGCCGGCCGCCCTCCACCATCAGCTGGAAGGAGGGGCCATCGGTGTCACCACTACAAGCAGCAAGGCCAGGCCACGACCGAGACCGAGACAGCGACCGACGCGAGGGAGCGCCGTGCAGAGGGGCGGGGAAAGGTGCCGGTTGCTCGGCTATGATGGATAGCAGAGAGGGCGTTGAGGGGGCGTGTGTGGGCAGGGAGGGCGAGCGAGGGACGGGCTCGCACGGGTATGACTTGGATCGTCTCGTCAGCCATCGTGGGCGCCGTTCCACAGCAGAGGCCGACAGCGACATCGGGCCGGTCGACGCCAGCAGCTTGCTCGGTGCCTCGTCGACCGCCCTGCTCTTGTCTCTCGCTGAGCTCTTGCTCTCATCGCTCGTGTGATGGGCGGGCTCGCTCGCTGAGGGCTTCGATGCAGGCCGCAGCCACCCCGTTGCCCACGACGGCCGCCTCCCAGGCATGTCATCATTCTCACCCATCACGCCGGTGTCCCCTCCTCCTTTGTCATCGCTGCTGTGCGGGCCCCACACGAGGCCGCGATCGGCCGGGTCGTCGCCAGTGAGACCTACCACATAGGCCAGTGGGTGGTGGAAGCAGCCCTCCACGGCCCCATCGATGGCACGGTGGCAGGCCAGTGGATGCACCAGCACCGCAGGATCGCCAGCAGGGGTAGAGGGGGAAAGAGACCCATCGGTTGACATCATTGACGTCTGCGGCTGGTCTGCTGCTGACGCATCCGGTGGTGCTGCTGCTGGTGGTGGTGGTCGTTCGGGCAGCTGCTGGGAAACGTCGTCTCCTTTCTGCTCGTGATCAGATGTGGGTGGGAGAGAAGGCGGCCGTGCCTCGACCGACGTGGCGATGAGCGAGCCGGCGAAGTCCTGATCTGTCGTGGCGGTGTCGGCTGATGCCTCGCCTGACGGGAATGCGGGGGCGGGAAAGTGGGCCGGAGGGGAGGGGGTCGCCTCGCCGTCTCCATAGTCATGATACGGTGAACCGTCACCCTCGCGGCTCTCGTGCTGCTCCCTGGCCTGTGGTCGCTGGTAGGTCTGGATGGCTGCCCGGGCGATGTTGGCTGGGGAGCTGGTGCTGGTGCTGGTGGTGCTGCCCTCGACGATGAGGGCGGCGGTGACGGTGAAGTCGATATCGTGCTCGAGCAGATCGAACTCCCACTCCACCTGAGAAAGAAGGACACACACACAGACACGCAGAGACCAATGGTCAGGTCGCCGGCAAGATTGAATGCCGCATGTCGGTCCTGTGTTTTCTGCCGCCTTACTTTGGCGAAAGGCGGGCAGACGCACTCGAGACAGACCACGGCAGCAGTGCCGGCCTCCACACCGAACGCCAGAGACCCATCCCACTTTCCCTCAGGCCCCCCACCCACCACCAGCCGCTCAGACGATCTCCGCCCCTCGTCTGGGGCGGCCTCACCCGTGCTGACCGGCGGCACAAACAGTCCCCTGCCCATGTCGAACATAGCCGAGATGCCGCCTGTCAACAGATCTGCAGCTTGTTGGGCGTAAAGCAAAGTGGGATGCATTGCCGGGCTCACAGGCTCGCTCGTGGATGCGGTCGACCGACGATGGTCTGGAAAGTGGCTGGTAGGTGGCGAGGGCAGGTGAGGGGCAGGAGGCCCTCGCTGTGAAGGGAAGCCCAGGTCAGCCACAGGCAGGGTCGATGCCTCGCCGTCGTCCTGCCCGGCGCTGCATCCCGGCAGCGATACGTTGCTGATCTCTCTTGGCGTAGCGAAGTTGGAGTGAGGCTCGGCCTCTTTCCACGCATTACTGTCGCTCTCAGTGACGGTCTCGAGCGACGCCTCCCCCTGGGGACGCTCCTGGCTCACCACAGACACTTCGCTGGCCTCTGCGGATCGTGTGCGGGCGGTGATGCTGTTGGTGCGGGCGGGCCGGAAGAGATTGCTGATTCGCTCGCCCAGTCCCGGCCCGCTCGTGAAGGCCGCTGGGTGTACTCCCGACGGTGGTGGGATGGGGACAGCGTCGCGGGGAGATGGCCCAGAGGTGAAGAAAGAGGGGTAGACGTCGACGTGGCCTTTGGCTGCGATCCACGCTGTCACAAAATCCGGGCCGAAGTCGCGGATGGGGAGTGACTTGAGGAGGGAGGGAAGGGTCGGGGGGCCGGGGGGTTTGGTGGCCTTGGTGGTGGTGGTTGTTGGTCCTTTTGCCTGGTCTCCGGCTGTGGCAGCTGACGCATCTGCTGCTGCTGGTTGTGGTGGTAGTGTGGGCGGGGTGAGGTGACACCACAAGTCATGTCCGCACTGATAAAGCGACTGCAGATACTCGCGCACACGACCCTGATGCGCAACACATCCATCATACCAAAGAGTAAGAGAGTGAGTCCATGACCTATCAGTGAGTGAGCCTCTTTCCTCAATCTACCCACCCGCAGTTCGTCGGCGGCCTTGTCGACGTCCATTTTGCTGTCGCTGTCGTGACTCCCGCCCTCACCCTCACTGCCGCTGCCATTTCTGGACGGCACGGCTGCGTACACATAAGGCCCCTCCCTTTGCCGCCTCTCCTTGCCACTGGCAGGCGGCAAAGGGAACTGACCCGCATACGGCCGACACACACGCATCAGCTCCCTCACCCACCGTCTGTCAGCCTCGCTCGGGCCACATTGCGACTGAAGCCGCGGCACCCACAGACCACCAGCACACCCTGCCGCCCTGGGATGGCCCTTGGGCGACCGCTCGCCTTTGGAGCCGCTGTGGCTGGTCGGCCGAGGCACAGTTATGGCTGCTGGTGGTGGCTCAAGGGGCAACCGCGGGGGCAGAAATGGGGATGGCGGGGACGAGGGCGCCGGGGGGACGGGTGGGGGTCGGGCAGCGGTGAAGTGCAGCCGCGCGTGGCCCTTGAATGGCGGTGTGTGTGACGTGAGATGGAGGTCGAGAGTCGCATGGATGGGGAGGGCCTTGACGAGCGGCCGCAAAGTGTCGTGTGAATCGGTGACGCCCACCAGAATGCCGTCAGTGATGGACCGCTCCAGGAAGCCCTCCAGCCACGGCACCGGGAAGACCGGCAGATGGATGCCGCCAAAGGGAGAGAGGTGCGTCACATGGCCATCTCCCTCGCCATTACCGTCTGCCGTCCTCTCGTGGCTGCACTGCAGGAGTTCCCCAATGGCCATTGTCCACCGCCAGACGTCATAGCCGCTCGAACAGACCACCAGCCGCCCCTCGAGCAGCCCCAGCTTGACCACCCTGACCAGGTCGTCACCAAGCTGCTGCACCAGCCACAGCAAACGGCTCGCCCTGTGAGCGTCAATCGACACGGATGGCTGGGACCAATCTGCATCTGAGAAGCCCTCCCCATCTGCTTCATCGTCATCGCAGCTCAGCGGCGGCAGGGTGGGGAACGACGGGCATTGGAAAGGTTCAGACGGCAGCCGCCTGGGCGCCCGAGAGAGATGGCCGGCGAGAGCCTCGAAGGACTGGATGCCAATCGTGCCGATGAGAGCGTCCCGTTCGCTGCCTCCTGCCGCGCCGGTCGGCCGCCGCCTTCGCGCCAAGAGGTTGATGAGAGGCAGCGGTGAGCTATCGGGCGTGCAGCAGTGCCACGGTAGTGAGAAGGCGAAAGATGCATCGTCCTCATCAGCCTCATCGTCTTGATGAGTGCCGTTGTTGTCCTGCTGGTCGGCTGCTGCCGTCCACTGCGATAAGACCGCCGCTGCGTGGCGCCAGAGAGAGGTGTCCTGGAGGTAGGCGAGAATGCTGATGGGCCGGGTGGCCTGGATCTGCCACCGTGCGTTGGCGGGAGGGCTCGTGCGCTCCAGGATGAAGCTGATGGTTGTGTCGGGCGTCTGGAGATGCCCGCACAGCGCCGCGTCCGCTCCATCTGTCATCATCTTTGTTCCTTGAAAAAGCTGCCGCACCAGCCCGCATGACTAGGCTGCTCGAAGCGAGGAGACTCCTTCTCGAATGCCCAGAGCCAACAAGCTCGCAATGCACGATGGATCGAGCCGCCGGCAGAATGGATAGGGCGGCGAGGCTGCATGTGAAGACCGCAGCTCATCACTCATAGTGTAGTCGCAGGCCTCTCGTGTTTTAGTGAGAAGGACGGCAGGTCCGAAAGAATCGCTCATAGCTCTTTGTCTGTTTGGCGCATCCACGCCGACCGACCGACAGAGCCACCTCACCGACGTGACTCGACGAGAGAACTAAGGTGAGCACGACAATGGCCGCAGCCACTCATCACGATGGTGTACGTTGCTCCGGTTCGGTGTGCCTGTGCATGTGTTTGCTGCAGTCATGTCGATGAGTGACGAGGGCGGCGCGCCGCCCAAACGGCCCCGCACACAGGGAGGAGAGGAAATGACGCCATCCGATAGCAAATCGGTGAGGCAACTGACTGACAGAAGAGCACTCGTGGTCACATCACACCTGTCTGTCTGTCTGTCTGTGTGTTGTGGTTCAGTCCATCGCTGAGGGTATGGCTCAGCTGGAGGAGCGCATCGCGTCACTTCACTCACACATACAACAGGTGACCCACACGTCAGAGGGCTCACTGTGACGTGACGCCATCCGTCCAGTGGGCTCTCACTCTCTGTGTTGCCGTCGGCTGTTTGTGTGTCTATCAGGCCACTCGCGAGGCTGCCGATGTGCAGGAGCTCTTCAACAAGACAGTCGCAGCACAGGTCAACCACACACAAACACCCACACAATGAGGCCGTCAGCACACTCTCCCATTGTGTGTCTGTGTGCTGTCGTGCAGACGCCATTTCTCGCCCAGAAGTGGCCTGGCGTGTTGTCGGCTCTCTCGTCGGCTGTCGAGGGTCTGCGTGGGATCGGTGAGGGCGTCAAGGGCACCTGCCGGCCGATCGGCTGGGCTAAGCCGCCGCCACCCAGACACTTGGGTGACGACCTGTCGGCCGACGTGTGGCGTGGGGTCATCCACCCGATGCTGTCTGTGAGTGAGGCCGTCTGCTCGGCCCGCCCCACCAGCAAGGCACACGGCAGCCAACTGGTCGATGAGGCCTTCATGCTCAAGCGCATCGACCAGGACCTCAACAAAGACTCACTCACCGGACTCGTCGATGTCGAACGGCCCACCCCTCCCACAGGCACACCCACAGCAGCAGACACCGACCCCCCCGGTGGCCCCCCGACACACCCACAGCCAGACAGCGATGCCGCCACGCCAGCGGACCGCAGCCGGCGGTTTCGCTATCTGTCGGCGTCCGCCTATGCACTGGAGCGAGGAGGGGCGGTGTTGCAGCAGATGGCCGATTTTATTCATCTATCGCACAAGTACAAGCTCACAAAGGAACTGCCCCTCCGGCTGTCGGCTGATGGGATGGCCGACGACTTGGCCAACAAGACGGCCCTCGATGAGCTGCCACTCGCCCTGGCCGTCTACAAGACATTCGGCCATCTGCTCACATACAAGCCCGAGGGCAGCGACGAGGAGACCAGCCTGGCACTGGAGCGGGTTGAGGGGGGCGATGATGGCGACCAAAGTGAGAGCGGCCAGGACAGTGAGGATGGCATGGACGAGGGAGGGAATGAGGAACAAGATGACGACATCGACCAGCAGGGGCAGGAGAATGGCGGCGGTGACGTGAGTGCCGGAGAGGGACCAGGGGGCAGCCAGCAGGGCGGACAGCCAGGTGGTGTGAGGAGGCAGCGCTACAGGATCGGTGAAGAGGACTTCACGACGGTTCACCTCGCTGATTTGCCCCCCACCCACCCCTACCGCAGCACATACGACGTCGACGATCCCGTCGTCCGCCATGATGACTGTCTCTACCCATCATTCACAACATTCCTCAAGGCGACGGTCCTCATGCGGTGGTATGGTCAAGAGGGGGTGGAGGAGGAGGAGCTGACTGATGCTCATGTTGGTCGTGACGACACTGGGTATCAGTTCCTGCTGACGGCACCGGCCATCGAGGGCTACAAGACCGTCGACTACATCGATGAGCATCCAGTCCACCAGGGATATGACGGCCGGCGACTCATCATCCTCAAGGGCACCGTAGCGACCGACACCATTGCGGCCTACCTGTTGGTGGTGAGTGGCAGCATCCGCCTGTACACAACCGAGGCGCCGAGTGACGGCAGCACAGACATCGATCGCTACCCCATTGCCGTGGCGGCTGCCCGCCCTTTGCTGGCCAAATATGGGCTGGAGATGACAGTGCTTGCATAGACGGCTTAGCTGACGACAGCACACTGGTGAGGAGGAAAGAGAGTAGGCGAGGGAGAGAGCAGGCGTGACAATGCCATGGCTCTCATCATTCCTTGTGTCGTGTGCTGTGTTGATGTCTGCAGGTGTCGCATCACTCTGTTGGCGGGGCAGCGGGGCGGATTAATGCCGCTGACGAGAGGATTGGGGGGGTCGATCATGGTGCATCTATCGGGATGGGGCGACATCTCCGGCTGACGGTCTGTAGCCGACCTGTCAGGCCGATTGGTGTGATGCGGTGAATGCTGGTGGGAGTGAGTGATGGCGTGTGGCATGGTGTTCACAGCTCGACCCTCTGCTGGCGTGATGTGTGTCGGTTTCAATGTATCGTGCCTGCCTTGTATGTATCGATACCAATGAGCGGACGGGCGCTTTTAATTGTATGGTGGAGTGTGTGAGTTGGTTTTTAATTTTTGGTTTTTAATTTTTCTGTCACCGGTGTCTAGGTTTTGTTTGTCCGGGTTTTGGGTTTCAGGGTTTCTCCCGGCGCTTTCCCCTCTCCCTCTTTTCCATCGCCTGGGCACATACCAGTGCCAGCACTTCTCGAATCTTGGCAGATCTTTGGCGTCCGCGTGTCGCTGATTCATTGATCTGACGCATGGGGCGTCTGCCCCGACTGCGCACCCCTTCCCCACATCCGCCGATCATCTCGGGCCCTCCTACGGCAGTGTTGGCAAGGCGGCAGGCGCCGATTCCCGCGGAGGGGATGAGTGGCTGGTGTCGGCCGGTGAGCGGATCTGTGCACTATAAGAGGATGGTGGCGTGCAGGAGCATCCAGCCCGACGACTACGTCGCGCTGCTGCAGAGAATGGTGAGCGATGCACACAGACAGACGTGCAGAGAGAGGTGCAGGCATCGTTGTGGCTGTGCAGGTTGGCGAGTATCCGCTAGATGTGGATGAGTCCTTGCTGCGCGCCATGAGCTACCGCTTCTACGAGAGTGCGGAGGAGTTCTTCCCGCCACAGATACAACAGGCAGGCAGGCAGGCAGGCCACACACAACGGGCCGACACATTGTGGTGGGTGTGATGTGGTGTCAGGTGCTGACCCTGTTCAGGGATCTGTCGTACGCCGACGAGTGCGTGCTGGGCGGGCTGGTCGGCAGGTCAATACATTACATTACACGAACGAACGAACCATGTGGATGTCTTGTCTTACCTTGGCTTGCTAGAATGGCTCACTTTGTGTGTGGATGTGGATGCTTGTCGTCAGGTTGGACGACATGCTGATGAGGCCCTCCCCCAGGCGCATGTACGAGCTCATGGACGCTTACGCCGACCTGCATATCTCACACCCACTCGTGAGTCTACCGGGGCACTGCATACACACATTTGGCTGGTTTGACGCACTTTATGAGTGTCTTGCTGCGGTGTCTGGGTAAACAGGCGCTGCAGCCGGTGCTCGACAGGGTGTCTGATCGCATGCAGGAGTTCACCAAGGAGCTTCCCAGGCTGCTCGCCTCCATGGCGACCTTGCAGACGCACGACAGGCTGCTGGTGGACGGACTCGCCACACAAGTGAGTGGGCCACACGCGAGCAGCCGCTGACAAATCTGATTGCTTGACGGCCTTGGGTTGTTCGCTTGCCTGCAGGCGTATTTGCAGAGGGACTACATCAGGGACAATTTCATTTGGTGAGCTACGAAGGGATGGCGCTTCAGGTTCTGAGAGAAGCTATGTGTGTGTGCTGTCCCGTCACCACTCAGGGCGTTCGAGGCCTTCTCTCGCCACGGATACACCCACGGCGACATCGAACCAGCATTCAAGCAACTGGTCACTCAACCGAGAAAGGTGAAGGCAACACACAAACGATCGGCTCGCAACACCGTCATCTCACCTGTCCATCCCTGTGTGTGGGAGTATGTATGTTGGTGTCGGTCTGTCATGGACGTGAGCAGCGGTGGTCGTTGGGCGAGAAGGTCGGTCTGCTGGCGGGGTGCGTGCGGATCGGCGACCAAGAGGGGGCTGACAAAATGAGGTCGGCACTCGATGAGAGAACTCAACGAATGGGAGGGCCAGGAGCATTCCTGGACCTTCTGTGCGTGTGCGCAGGTCTGAGCTGCTAAGTGACGTCAGTGGAGACTCCGCCAAACAGTCACTGCTGCTGGAATACATGAAGAGGCTCCGGTGGGTGTGGTGTGCCAGTACAGACAGACACACGCAGACGAGGCACTAGTTAACCGATCTGTCTGTGTGTGTGTGTGTATGCAGGTTGCGTGACGCTGGGTTGGTGCGTATGTGCGAGGAGGGCCTGGAGATGTCCCTCCAGTCCCTTGATGCCGTCAGGGGGCACCTGGCCCACGACATACACGCACTCGCCATGCTCATTCCCACGCAACCCACACTCCTGGTCAGTCAGTCAGTCAGTCATTCAGTCAGTCAACACACACACACGGCGCACAAATGACCCTGACTATGATGTGTGTGGTCACTAACCACTCTTCCTTTCAGGCGGTGGCTATGACGTCCCCGATGTTGGTGCAGTCTTTGGCGCGTCTGGATGCCAAGAAGCTGACCCTCCTACTGCACGCAGCCTGTTGCATGCTGGTCCACGCTACATCACAGCAACAGGGGGCTACTGAAGCGCTCGGCATGGACAGCCACTCGGCAATGTGGGCCGGCTTACTGACCGGCATCGAGAGAGGCTGGAGGCAGCTAGACCTCACGCACAGGCGGATGCTGCTCGCCGCCATTATCTACTTGCAGGACCAGACAGCAGTGCAGGTCTGTGTGTATGTCTGTGTGAGATCCACACACACACACACACGCACACCACCCTGCTGCTGTCCTTTGTGTGTACGGATTCAGACGGAGGCCGTTCTGCCTGCTGAGGCGGTGTCATTCATGCGGTCCTTTCGCCATGCGGGCGTGCCGCCCCTGCCCCCTTCCTCCCCCTCTGACTTCACCTTCAGACACGCCGAGCCGCAGACACTCGCAGGCGTCAGTGTGCTGCGATTCCCAGACCGCTATTCGCCCCCAGCAGCAGCAGCAGCAGCAGCAGCAGCACGAGCTGATGGGGAAGACTGGTTCGACAAGGCCATCTATGACGCACTCACGAGGACCACCGAAAACGGCGGCGCACCATCGGGTCAGCTGCCGTCGTTCGTGTTTGGTGGTGTGGACGACTGTCTGGTCGGCGACGTGAGAGGCACCACTGATGGTAATTGTGTGTATCTGGATGGTGATGCTCGAGAGAGGAAGCTGCTGGTAGGTCCCTGGAAGCAGCTCGAGATGGCGGCTGTGGGGTGCGAGGGGCGTCACGGTGCGGCGGGTGATAATGATGTGAGGGTGTGTGTGCTGGCCACACTGCCGGGCAGCAATGTCAAGGAGGACAAAGGGCTGCGGGTCGTTGGTGTGTGTGGAGACTGTCCAGACAGACAAACAAACGGACAGGCAGACAGACAGGCAGACAGGCAGACAAGACAAGCAGTGAGCGACTGAGAGTGGCTGTCTGTCTGTCTGTCTCCTTCCCATGGATTGGATGCGTGTATACGTAAACGGAATGTATGCATTTGTACATCGAGAGAGAAGCAAACGACCAATCGATCGATCGTCGAGTCTTGATTTACAAAGTTGGTACAAGATGTCCGTATGGACAGATGCACAAAGTTTAAGAGCTCGTCCCGTCCATTGCAAACGAAAAGCGGACACACGCACACACAGGCAGCACAGACGGTGTCTATTAATGAGAGGAAATATCCTGCATGTTTCTCTCTCTTCGCTGTCTCTCGAATGTGTCTCGTTTCTCTCCCGTCACTCAGGCGATCACTCTTCACCTTCATCCATCACTCAAACACAGGCAGCAGGCAGGAGACGCGCACTCAATTTTCTCGGCATTTTCTGCACTATGAATGTCGGTTTGTCTTGAGCATTGGTGCTGTTTTTGGCAGGTTGGTTGGATGGACCAGGGCAGCCTAGAGGTCTGTGGAGACTTCAATGACCTCCTCGGCCTTCTTGGCCTCGACATGGTCGCCCTTGTCGACGATCAAAGAGCTGCACACACACAAAACAAACACACACACACACACACACACGAACACAAACCATATCATAAATGTACCACTTTGTCTGTGTGAGCAATGAGGCCATTATGCATGCGGATATCCATACATATTGTGGTCCTTGAAGTGGTGTTTGACGGCCTCGATGATGGCGGTCACGTCCAAGGCGGGTGTGGCCGCCTGCTTCTCCAGCTGCTGTATCTGCTCGGAAGAGACTCGGTCGCTCACCACGGCACCGCCCGTCACGTGCCCTCCACCGACTAGGGCCTCGCCCTCTGGCGTGAAGAGGCGCAGATCTGAGAACGTAAGATGGATGGATGGATGGATGGATGTCTCTGTGTGTTTCTGCTTCCTACCTACCTTTGAGGCGCTTGAAGAACTCGCGGCCCTCCTTGTCGAGCTGAGTGCCGTACTTCGCCTCTCGTTTCTTGAGCTTTCTCTTGTGGATGGCCACCTTGATGAAGTAGGTGCTGACGGCAATGACCGCACCGCCGACTGCCATTCCCGCCACGAAGGGCACAATGGTCGCAGCGGTCACTGCGGCGGACCCCTGAATGTGTTGTACACGCATATCTATGTCTCTGTAGCACATATGAAGAGCGCCGACAGAAAGGCTGAGTGAATTACCAAGCCAAGAGCCATCGCGCCCTGTACAGTCACTGTGGAGGCGAAAGCGGAGAACAAAAACAAACGACAGATAAAAGATTCCAAAGTCGTCCCCCTCACAATCAGAGACCTCATCAGTTGCAGACCCATGTCATACATGTATCCTTCTGCCTGCCTGCCGTCCTCCCTGGCTCTCTCTGCAGGGGACTTACATGCGAAGATGCCTCCGCCGATTGCGCCCGCCGCCAGCTGTTGGCCCACGATCTTCCCGCCCGTCTTGCCATGTATCTTCAAGGCGTTCTTGAACTTTTCTCCGAGGCTCTTCTTCGCAGTGCGGCACATGTCGTACACAGATCCGATTGGCTTGGTGGACTGGCCCAACAAAAGCTCAGAACGGCAGTACATCTGGTCCGTTCTGAGCACAAGGAGGGACGGTGTGTGAGCTGGTACATCGGACACACAAGGAAGGATAGTGATACTTCGGGTCATAACGGACGACGCCTGTGTCGATCTTGCTGGGCAGGACTGTCGACAGGGTGGCCTGCATTCATACACACGCAGGGAGGGAGGGAGGGAGGGAGGGAGGCAGGGAGGCAGGGAGGAGGACAGCATCTGTCAACATGGTGGCTGGTTGCATGTTCCCTCCTCTTGTCCATGTCCAGTCATGCTGACGTTTTTGAGTTGTTTCGCCTTGGCCTCATCGACGGCGGCTTTTACCTCATCGCTATTGAAGATGTCGCACTCCAGAGGGGAACCGATGTACGCAGGAGGCTCCGGCTCCGGCTCCGGCTCTGGCTGCTCCTGCTGCTTCTGTTGTTTCCGCTGCTCATGTTTCTTCGCCAGGTCATCCGAAATTTCTGTACACATACCGAGGACGGCACAGGCACCCATACATCAATGTCGTGTCTCATTCATCAGAGGCAGGCCAGACCACTTGCCTTCCCTGCCTGGCTGGCTGCGTACCCTTGCCTCGCACGTCCTTGAGTCTCTTGGCGAAGACCTCCTTGACGGCGCCTTTGTGCTGCTTTGAGGTCAAGTAGATGGGACGGCCGATTGTCACTTGTGCTTCGTCCTCGGATGGGAGCGGATTCTGGCGGGACACATTCCCCCAGCCAGACCCAGATACAGATTGATCCCTGTCTGGCTGGCGTCAGTTGCATGCATGAGGTACCTACCTGTACTATGAAGCACATGTCTCTCGGCTGAACGTACACTGTGCGTTTGTCGCCGCGCCTGGCCCACGTGTCGATCTGTGCCAAGAGTCCTGGTGGGTAAAGAGGGTCGTCGGGAGCTGCACATACGCACGATGGACAGGAGCAAGGAGTGCATGAAGCGGGCGAATGGGTAAGTGTGCGTGTGTGGGTGGGTGAGGTGGGGGACTGACTGACCACGGAAGCGCTCCACCCCAGGCCGCTCTGGCCCTCTATAGATGCATCTCACATGATCCCACCTGAGTGTGAGCAATCAATAACGAACAAGAAACACCATCACGCACCCCATATACATACGGCGTGGGTGTAGTTCAACCAATGAGTGCCATCACTGCTCACGGGTCCTGTGGTTCCCCATATTGGTAAGGGTCTTTCTCGCACCGCCCGCACGCCTGTGGCCCCCCGGGCATGCCCGGCACCTCGAGCTCACAGGTCTTGCCGATAAGCTTCTCACGGACAGCTGCCACGGGGTCCGTCCCTCGTTTGCTCTTTTTGCTTGCGTGCATGCTCCTCCACGCATTCCGCTCGCAGCTGTCCGGCCATCCCGGTCCAGAATCCTCACCAGGTGTCCCTTGGCCCGGCGTGAACATCACCTCGCAAGTTACTGAAGGCAGGCAGGCAGGCAGGAGACTTGCTGGAGTCAGACGGGGCGCCGCGTTCCTTTTGTGTGTACCTCGCTGCTCAAACTGGACGTCACTCCACTCGTGAGCGTCGAAGAGGCGGCACTCGTTCGATTCGCCATTGCAAATCGACTCAGCCCGAGAGAACTTCAAGGGACACAGGGAGGTGAACGAAACAACAACAGCCCCAACCTCGAAGAGACGCATCGCTCCTTAGACGAACTTCGTCGCTCTCTCCGTCGGTGTGCACGGGGCGGGAGGCGTTTGCAGCGTGGATGTCTCGCTCAGGCCTTGTGCGTCTTGCTTGTGGGATCTTTCGATGGTTCGGGGATTACTAAAACAGGGGGCCACTGGCAGTCTCTTGGCGAGGCCCCCATGCATGTACTAGCCGATCCACGTATTCTGCCGGAGTATTCCTATTCCTTCGAGCTGACAGCGTCCCTGTTCGTGTGTGAGGGTTGCAATGGGGGAGTTTTCTCATCAGATGATGAGTCACTGAGTGATTGAGAGTGAGTCGATTGACACCTTCCTTGCTTGAGCCAAGCCGGACTTTGACAGACATGACACGTACGTTTAAATCGTCCGCGTGTCACACTGATCGCATTGCGATTGCACCATCACGCACACGGCCAATACACACAGGCAGAAAGACGTGTAGCACTCGACTAAGCACACTCACGCACACAAACACACACACACACGCGCGGAGGAATTGCAAAATAGGAGAGCATCCCCAGGAGTGGCCAAGTGAAAGACAAAAACAAAAATGGCGCATGCAGGCAGACAGACAGACAGGCGCAGACAGCAATGCTGTCCCCACCACCCACCTCACCCACCCCTATCGACAGCTTTCCAACATTCCCCCCTCTCTCCCCATCCCATCCGCCCATGACATGATACACACACCATACCATCCCGTCCGCCCACCCACTCAAAATCGAGAAAATGCCCTCCGTCCCCTCCCTCCCTGCCTGCCTGCCTCCCGGCATCAATGCCATGGATGTGTGTAGGTAGGTAGATGGGTGACACCGACCGATCAAGTGTGTATGGTGTGTGTGGAGGGAGATAGATATATCACCATGAGAAGAGTGTGTTCTGTCCCACTAGGTGGTCGAGGCGATTGATCCAGTCGATGGACACGCGGCGCGTCTGGCCGGCCGGCGCGCTCGACGCTATCGTCAGCATCGACACACCCGTGTTGTGGTGGAAAAACCTGACACACATATCAAGCAAGATGCCATCATGACATACACACGGCACGGTCGTCCCTCTGTCTGTGTGTCGGTGTACGTACCTGATGAGGGGGTTGTCGTGTGTGCCGGTGATGGACTTGATGAGCAGGTCCAGCAGATCGGCGTGCGCCACGAGGATGACCAGATCGGCACTCCCACTCCCCGCCATGTGCCACAACCTGCCATGCCAGCCACACACAAAGACCGAACGTTGGTCCGGTGCCTCTGTCTGTGAGTATTAACATATTGTGTGTTGGCAGGCGGTGTTGTCTGTCTGTAAACTACGAACCACTCGGCGACTTTGTTGGCGCGTTTCAGTGCCTCGGCCAGCGTCTCCTTGGAATGGCCTGGTGTGGGGAAGCAAAGCAGCACCCACCGATTGACAGACAGTGAGTGACACACATATGGACTCACTGACTCCTTGCATGTCATGTATGGCCACTCTCTCTCTCTCTCTCTCTCTCTCTCTTCTCTCTCTCACCTCTGTACCAGCCGTCCTTCATGGCGTCGGGGAAGGTGACCTTGCCGGGGAAGTGCTTCTCGAACTCAGCCGTGGCCCATCCTGCACACACTCATCTCATCTCGCGAATGAATGAATGGCATGAACGAACATGAGGGAGGGGCCGACTGGCTGGCTGACCCTCTGAGGGCACAAATCTGCCGTTCTCCTCCTTGTACATGCCGCCAACCTGCACACACGCACCACAACCGTAATCGAAGACCACCTTTTGGCCTGACTGAGTGCTCGTCTCATCTCGTGTGCGGCAGTCAGTCAGTCAGCTACATGCATACCTCGTACAGCTCTGGATTGCAGAAGACGCTTTTCCTCTCGAGACCGAGCGACTCGATCACGGGCATGGCCGTCAACATCGCCCGGAGCATCGGCGAAACGTACAAACGCTTTACACAGACACACACCAAGAAACAGAGGGAGCATCACATACCCTCTCTCCGTGTCCATCTGCCCCTCACCCCACCCACCCAAGACGTCGACATACCAGTCTGGGGAGGCCCGCGGCACTCTTCCGGTCACTGCCGATGGAGGTGGTGGTAGTGGGGGAGGACGCGCTGGCGCTGTCGGAATCGTCCTGCTCCTCATTCTCGCCGCTGTCGCCGTTGTTGGGGTTGGATGTGCGGGGCGGCAACAGGGAGGGCGGGATGTACGAGTCGATCATGGACGACAGACGGTCCACCTGCTTGACGCCCAACGATGATATCTCGGGGTCTGTCCACAGACAGACATATATATGCACGCAATGACATGCCATGGGCATCTTGCTGTCTGCGTTGTGTGCGTGTGTGCATGGGGCTGTGGAGCATGTGTCAGTCACTTGAGCTTCGCCTTCGCTCGAACTCTCGGTTCATATCCAGCCACTTGGAAGTGCCTGCGAGGAAATGGCCAATGCAGCCGTCGGAACAGACACAAACACACGCACAGAGGGCGGCGCAAGTGAAGAGTGCTCGTCGAGGTCATGACGGGCTGTCGGTCCCTCTCTTACCTGGGCTTGGGTAGCTCTGCTTCTCGCGGAGCTGCTGATAAATCTCGTTGTTCGAACTCTGTGCATGACGAATCATCAGGATCTGCACCACACACAAACACACTGGAATTCGCCTACGCGCGAATGGTGGCCTGCATCTGTCGGAGATCTATTCTCCCGTCAGCCATCTCGTACCTTCATGGTTGTGACCTGCGTCGCGGCCGTCGGAGGGCCACTTCGCTCGCTCCGAAGACTACTCCATCAACTCCCCGTGAGGTTACGAAGGAGTGCGAGCTCGGGGTCGGGCCCCCTTTGCCCCCCCAGTCTCAGGCTTGTCGAAGCATTTCTCCTCTCACCGCATCATGGCAGGGAAGAAGGGCCCCGAGAAGCCCAAGGCAGACATCGCAAATCTGCAGGTACTACTGGAAGGGAAACATGCCATTCATTTCAACGTCGCCCTGTTGCAGATATCTCAGTATGGCGGGTTTGCGGCACGAAAGGCCAAGGAGAGGGCCGAGCTGGAGCCGTCCATCGACGTGCTGCTGGAGACCTGCAAGCAGCGGCTCCTGGAGGCAAAGAAGGAATACATGGCCGTCACAAGCCAGCTGGGCAAAGGCCAGGCCGCCAACCTCGATGTCGAGCCCAAATTCGCTGCCATGCAGGTCGACAAGAGCCTGCATGGCGTCTCCCCAACCATAGAGAGATGTTTCGATGAATGGTGTTTGGTTTGTCTGCAGGCGGCACTTCAGCAGCTGCAGAGGCAAGCCGTCGACGAGTCCGATGACCGAGCGGCCCTTTCAACCGTGGCCGCAGTAACCCGCCGCTCAGCAACGTACCGGAGCGGCGCACAGGCCGCATTTATCGCAACATTAAGGGCGCTGCTCCATGACCTCTTGCTGACCACTGACCCGTACCTCTCTCTCTCTCTGAGCATGGTCAGTTCTGTCCTGCTGCTGTCTCTTGGTCTTTTTTCTTGCAGAGCCAGTCGATTGGACCACTTGGACAAGACGTTCAGGTGGTAAGTTAAGCTGGCTGGCACGGACGTCTCATGTGTGAGCCAGGCAGACACAGGCACACACACATACACGCCCGCAGCTGATTATGCCAAGTGTTTCTGTGTGTCTGATGACAGGTTCAAGAAGGAGGCTGCCAGTTGGGGAGTAGACATGGAAGGAATCGCTGCGGTACCGACACAAGCCCGGCACACCGAGGGATGGAGAGATGGATGGCTGGGGGGATGGGTGACGATATCCCTGGTGTGTTCAGGCGGAATCAGGTGAAGCCGAAGGCCCGACCGAAGTCGGTGCAGGCTTGAAGGAGGGCGAGGGCACAGAAGAGGACCAGCAAGCTGAAGAGGAGTCTGCCGAAGGAAGTAGCGAATCCGAGGGGCAGGAGGAGCAGCAGCTACCTGAAGAGCAAATCAAGGAGGACATCGCTGCAGCTCAGGAAGGTGAAGAGCTCGACCCGTCCCGCTTTCCCGGCAGCACCTTCTATTCCGCTGATTGGAAGCAAGAAGAGCTGCCCAGAGAAGAAGAGGAGACCCCCAAGGTTCGACCGAAGAGCCTACTGGCCCGGCTGATGCCTTCTTTGAAGCCCCTGACGCCGCCCGAGCGACTCCGCCAGGATTACCGCACCAAAGAGCTGTTTCGGAGCGACATCCAGCCTGCAGAGGGGCGCTCTCACACGCCATCCACAACAACGGGCGGCGGGATGTTCTCAGGCGTCCCATCCACAGGGCGATGGGCGCACAAAGGCATGGCTGTGTCCCGCCCTGAGACAGCCCACATTGCTCTCACCACTCCTTCCCAGCCGGCGTCTGCTCTCGGGTCCAGGCCGGTGTCTCGCCCATCTGGGATGAGGGAGAGGCAGAGGGGCGAAGACGGGACTGTCCTGACGGGCAAAGGGCCGACCGATGTCGTGCAGTCGCAGAAATGGGGTGACAACGAGACAAGAAGTCGCCACACACACCACTTTGTCTGTTTTGTCTATTTTGCCTCCTGTGCAGATTCTTCTTGGCAGCGAGCGGCTGATATCGGGAGGGGCCCCAGGACTGCAATGGATACCGGGACCGCGAGACTGCTCTTGCCATCGGAGTTGTCAGCACTGCGTTGCCGTGGAAACGCCAGAGGCAAACATTGCGTTCTACTGATTGCAGGTCTGTCGGCCAGCGGTGGATTGCCAAGCGGCACGCACAAGTCGACGAGGCCATGTAAGGAGGAGACACAAACATGCCATGGATGCGGAATGCCACCGGCTCCCTGGTCCTTCCTCAGTCGCCGAGAGGAGTTCTCTGCCTTCATGAGCGACTATGCGTCGAGGCAAAGGCGTCTAGAAGAAGCCATCAATCGGTCACACCTCGCAGACATGAGACACGTCCCCCAAACGCCCATTCTCTGTCTGTCTGTCTGTCCGTTCGCCCGCCCGCCTGTCTGCCTCTTTAGGCGCATCGAAGCCAAGCGGTACGGGGCCACCCTGCAGCAGCGGGCCTACATGATGCCCCCTGACGCCCATCTAGACGTCCATGAAGACATGGCAGCGCAACAGCGATACCTTCAGTTGAGGAAGGACGAGGACGAGCGCCAAGGCCGGCAGCAGCGGAGCCAGGAGGACCAGCCCGGCGAGTCGAGTCTGCTCTCGCGGACAGCCTCGAGGCTGCCGAGCGCGGCTGTCAGTCGAAGGAACACCGTGATGCCTCAGGCCGAAGAAGCAGATGAGACGGCGAATGAGTGTGAGCTTGCTGAAAGAGCGAGACAAACAGACACGGGCGCTGTCTCGCCTTCCAAGTCTCATTCATTGTTGCTGCTGCTGGTTGGTTGCCTGCGTGGGTCCGTGACAGTCGATGAGATGCTGCTGTCTCGCCCTCCACTGTTGAACCTTGTCGGGTCGACTCAGGTACGCTACCTACACCTGTCGCTGTCTGCAAACACATGTGCAAGCATGCTTTGAAAGGGACGTTGTGTGTGTGTGTCTTTTCAGCTGGCAGCTCCCACTGAAGTGGATTTGTCGCCGTCGGCAGCCCAGTCGCCAGAGGCCGCAGACGCGACTGCCATCGATGAGTCAGTCAGCATTCTTTGCGTCAATCGAGTGGCAGACAAACAGTCCACATTAATGAATCACGCCGGGATGCATGTGTGTGTTTTGCTTTGCAGGGCTTCGCGGCCGGGAGTCTCCATCAAGCCCGGGGAAGACGTGCAGCAGCACGAGTTGATGCTCAAGAGGCACCTGTACCAGCACCTCATGGTGAGTCAGACACATCAAGCAAGCAATCATCTCTCTGTTTCTGTGCGCATGAATGCACCAGGCGATCCCCGGCTACGAGCAGGATGGTTCTCCGCTGTCCCCCCCCTCACTCACGTCACCATCTCTGGCACCATACCCACCCAGGCAGCACATCGACAAACGGCACGACCCCTGTGCTGTCCTCGCCGCGCCCTGCACACTGTGGAGTGCCAAGCACCACCTGACGAAGAAGGAGGACCAGGGGAGTGGAGGTGGCTTGTCGCTTGATGCCATCAGGAGGAGGCAGTTGTGGGAGGTGGAGACGGCCAAGCAGATGATGGCCAAGATGGGCACGATGGTCGACAGTGCCGTCATTGACAAGGGGCTCGTCATGCCACTGCACCAGCTCAAACGAGGGTACGCAGGGAGGGAGGGAGGGAGGGAGGGACACACTGCTCGACCACTCAGCCCAACAGCATCACTGTTTGTGTCTGTCTCTGTGTGTGTCTGTCTGTGTGCCCACCCGCCCACAGTGTGGCTCCTCACACGACTGTGCCCCGTCTGTTGATCAACCCGCTTTACGAGACCAAGGAAGGAGAAGGCCGGCAAGGGCAAAAAGAAAAAGGCCGGAGGCAAGAAAAAGAAAAAGTGATCAATGACCGTACCGACCGACCGGACTGTGCGTTTGAGTGAGTGAATGAAGAGCCGAGAAGCTCAGCACGGACAGACAGACAGCCAGCCAGACAGACAGACAGACGGACGGACAGACGGGCGTATGATCGGTTCAATTTGGTGTGGCCATTGTGATGAATCCGGGCCATTGCGTTGGTCTTAGCTGAGTGACGCCACTACGGTGTTAAAGCGTCGGCAATGGAAACGTCCGTCCACAGTCGGTGATCGAATTGGTTGGCAGGAACAGACAGACAGACAGACATGCAATGCCGTCACTCACGCACGTGTACTAAAACAGCGACGCAAAATTCCGCACCCAGCCAGCTATGCGCTCATGCGACTAGACAGACAGACAGACAGAAGGCCATCCGAGCCAGGGAGCGTTAGTCGTACGGACACACACACACACAGACACATGGAGGGCTGGATTCACGTCCCGTTTTGCCAGTGCAGTGCAGCAGAAGAGAATGAGGTCACGCAGCTAATATCGACACGGATGGATGGATGGATGGATGAGTGGATGTGTGTGAGTGAGTGAGGAAAGGTCAGGCAAGGCAAGGAGAGAAAAATGCGGCGAAAGCAATGCAGCAACGAGCGAGCAACGCTCCGGGCGGTTTCCCGCGCCGCCCAGAGGCACTGACGCGTGAATGACACTGCCTGTATCCAAGACCCTGTTCTCAACCACACGCCACACCACGCCACATAACACAAGACAAGACAAGACAGAGAGAGATCAGAGGCGCAAACAGTCTACCCACCCACGAGAAACAACACCTTCTTCCCCTCTCCCCCCCCGCCAGACAAACCAGCCAGGGGGGGCGACACTCTCTGTATGAGTGTGTGCATGAAGGACAGAGGCATCCGTCCGTGGCAAAATTCATCCCCTCTGCAGTGCACATGACCGGTGCGAAACGGAAAGACAAAAACAATACTCAGGCACTGTTGTACTGTGGGTATGGACTGACAGCACACGTCACGTGCACACCAAGGGAAGGAAGGCAGGGCGCAAAACAAGCGGACACGCCGACTCACAGACAGACACAAGTCCCTGCCGACTGACTGACTGACTGTCAAGGCGTCTGTCGGGCTACTGAGGCAGACGACGGCAAAACGGGCGGTGACGACAGCGCCGCATTTGCGGATGGATGGATGGATGTCTATGGATGTCTATGTATGTCTGTGTGTGTACGAACAAACAAACCCACCCATGTGTGTGTGCCTCACAGTCTGTCTCTTTGCTGCATAGGCATGGATCCACACGCATAGCACACGGACAGGCACACGCAACCCAATCAAGCTCCAGATAAACGCCCGGCCATGCGTATCCATCCACTCACTCACACGTAGGTCCATCGATATATAAACATTCCTCTCCTTCCCTCTACAGTCTCTCTCTCGCCCCCTCCCTCCCTCTCTCCCTCTCTCTGCCTCCCTCTCCCCCGGGCCTTTGGCCTAGAAGGGTCGTCTCAGCTTCCTCAAAAACGCCGCAACGCCCTCGGCGTGGGTCGTGGACGCATACAGATCCTCACCAACCAGCGCCCGGCACCGCGCCGTCACCTTGTGCAGGTTGCGCCGGGGCATATAGGGCACCAGATGATGCTCGATATGATAGTTGAAGTGCCCCACCCAGCACGACACCACGGCGTCCCACGACCCCATCACCACACGCCGCAACACAGACGGAAAGGAGGCCTTGTCGTCACCAGCAGCAGCAGTAGTGAAGCCGTGCAAGCCGTGGTCCATGGCGGCGCGGTTGTGGTTCTCTGTGACCCCGGCCTGGAGGGCCACAAAGCCGTGGAGCCGCTGGTCGACGGCCGACGTCTGGTGGACCGTCCCGAGGTACTGGTCGACAGTGATCGCGTCGAACAGGAAATGGTTGAGCGATGCGCACAGGGCCAGCGAGGCAAAGCCGAACTCGCCGACCAGCATGATCCATGACGCGTAATGCCACGACGCGCCGAACAGCAGGGTGGGGAGGAAGGGAGCCGCCATGCGCGCCATGATCCCGCCGAACACCAAGGCGTCCCGTCGCTTTGCGGCTTCGACGACCGACCTGGCAACCTCTAGAGGCATGTAGATCCACAGAATGACGAAGAACCACATGAAGCTGGCCCATGTGGCGTAGCCGGTGGAGAGCTTGTCGAGGGATGCTTCGAGCAGCTGAGCGGGGTGCCAGTAGACGAGGGGAGTGGTGTCGAGGGACTTGTCGCGGCCGACGACGTGGGGAAAGGCGTGGTGGGCGTCGTGCACAATGGCGCCCTCTGACCAGTCGATGCCGCCCCACACCACGGCAAACCACTTGCAGAAGCTGCACACGGCCCGGCCCCCACACACACACAGCCCCCATGTGAATGGGCATCCATAAGGTCGCCTGTCCCTCAGCCACATACCGCTTTCCCTGTGCTTTGGTTTCGAATGCCGACTGATGGCCGACGTCGTGGCAGAGGTACTGCCCGAGCAATGCGCCAAAAGCCCCGCACCCGATGCTCGCCACATAGAGCAGCCATCCCCACCAGCTGGCAGGGATTCGGCCCTGGATGCACCAGTGGGCTGTCAGGAGCGAGATGAGGAACAGCACAGGGCCCTGCATGTCCCACAACCAGTGCCTCAACGGGTACGCGAACAGCCCCTCGGCGGCGAACTCCTCGATGAGTTTGTGCAGGGCCTTGTCGCGGCTGCACATGAGGTCGGACGTGTCTTCGCCACTACTGGCGTCTGGCTGAGTGAGGTAGCCCATCCAGCTGACGCGCAGCCGCCGCCACACCTGATCGGACTTGATGTGTGCTGTGTAGAACGAGAGGGAAGCATCGATGCCTGAAGGAATCAAGGACACAAAACAAACCAACCATGTGGAATGCGTTTCCCTCCTCCATGGCGCATCCGTCTGTCCTCACCAACGAAATCAGCCAGGAAGTTCCCTCCAGGGTGTTTGCCGGGCGCCGTGAGTCCGCTGATGTCATAGACGCTGCCGTTGATGATGGTCCACTGCCGGCCCTCCTTGACTGCCTGCCGAAATGCGGCCGGCGTGACGTACTTGGGAGTCTTGGCCTTGAGGCGCATCTCGTGCTCGTGGCGCACGTTGAGGCGGTCACCGTTGCCGTGACGCCACCACCTCATCAGGTGGTCTGCCCACGCACAAGCTGCAAGCAGAGCAGAGCAGAGCAGAGCAGAGCAGACAGGCAAGCAGTCTTGTCCACTGACGTGGCCCTGCCCAGTGACTCTCTCTCTCTGCAAGCGTGTTCACACCAGTGAGTTGGTAGAGCACACAGCCTCCCAACAAGACTCCCACCAACGTGACGGCGCCTGCATGACAACACCACCAACACGCAACACGTGAGTGCAGCGAAGCAAGCCGTGAAAGAGTGATGTATGTCCTCTGTCTGAGTGACTGTCTGGTCTGCTCACATCGTGTCCACAGTGTTGGCTCGGAGACCAGGGTCAGCCCGACAAGCCCAACACCGAAGAGGAGGGCATTGACGAGCAGGGCGTTGCCAGCGAGCCAAGGCGGCCCCGATACCCGCTTGGCTTGCATCAGCACCTGCTGGACGACCTCCCTCCGAGATAGTGAGAAGAGGTCAAGGAAGCCCATCGAGGCACTGGCGGCGCGGGACGGCGGACGATGGTAAAGTGGGTGCTGCCCAGCCGCAGATCAGCCACCCTGAGCCCTCCAGCTGACCACCTCAGATTAGCTCCACCGCACGCAGACACACGGACAAATCCTCGGCAGCAGAGAGACGGCCCTTCTGTGGCTGTCTTTGTGTGACCTTGCTGTGTGACCTTGCCGTGGAGCCCTCTCTTCCTCAGAAGCTAAGCTCGCAGATTCTCGAGCGCGCACCCACCGGGTTCTCCGCCCTCCCCTGTCCCTTTGTCCCTCCGCCTTTTTCACCCTTGGTTTGATTGGAATCGACAGACCGCCCCTGTCCCTCCAAGCCGACTGACTGACGGGTGAGGTGTTTGTGCTGGCCTTGGCCTTCTTTCCTCTCCTCGCCTTGGCTTGGCTGATGGAGGACCTTCGTGCGAAGGACCAGTTATGGGCGCAGAGTCCCGCTGGCGACATGGTGCGGGATGTGATCCGGACGCTGCAGGAGAGCGACCCCGAGGTGCCCTCATCCATCCAGTCGCTGCAGCCGGAGCTCAAACGGGTCGACAGCGACCCATCCATGCCCACCGGGGTGGCTAACGGCATCACAGGCGACCCAGAACAGAGGCAATCGTCCTCACAGATTGCTCAGGTGGGATGGATGGAGAGTACCTAGGGGGGAGGGGTGAGCGCACGATGGATCTGTGTCTGTGTGTGTGTGTGTGTGTATTGTGTGGATGCAGCCAGGAGGTTTTCGGCGTCAGTATTTGGTGCATCGCAGGAGGGGCGGCTTCGGCAGACACAGAAGCTACCCACCGTGAGCAGCACACTCGAACATACAGCTAGCTGGCCACGGACGAGCAGCAGCAGACTGTCCCTTGTATATGTATGTGTGTCCACCTCCCTCTCTCTGTGTCAGTTTGGTTGAGAAGATCACTGATCCCTTTTTATACACCCGTTTCCAGCTCATGGCCGATGACGAGGCCGACAGCGATGAGGCCGACGAGGAGTCCCTCTCACCAGAGTCGGACCGGGGCAGGAGGCGACGCTCTGCTCGCGGCCGGGGCGTGCGGCCGCTCCAGCCGCTGCCCCCCGAGCTGGAAGGCTACGTGGAGCTGGCCGAGTCGGCCGAGGCCGAGAAGGGCAAGCGGGCCAACACGCGGCAGACGGTCATCACGATCCTCAAGTCGTTCGTCTGCTCGGCCTTCCTCTTTTTACCGAGGGGCTTCTACAACGGCGGCCTGCTCTTCTCCCTCCTCACCATGGCGTGCTCGTGGATCTTCTCTGTGCACTGCATGATTCGGCTCATCAAGTGCGCGAGGCCGGGCCGCGAGAGCTACGGGGACATTGGCGAAGCCGCCCTGGGCGTCGTGGGCCGCGTGTTTGTGGAGATCTCCGTGGTGGTCTCGCAGATGGGCTTCAGCACTGTGCTCATCATCCTGTTCTGCACCACGGTGCAGGACTTCCTCAACACCATCGGCCGCTGCGACCCCTCCTACTATGTGGGGCTGGGGATGCTGGTGGCGCTGCAGTTCCCCCTGCAGGCCCCAATGGCGTGGGTGCGGCGCATCAAGTACTTCGGGCCCGCCATGCTGGCTGCCGACTTTTTCCTGGTCTTTGGGATGCTCATTATTTTTGGGTTTGTCATTGGCCGTCTGTCTGCGTTTGGGGTGCGGCCGGTGCACCTCATCAACACCAAGTCGTGGCCGCTCTTCGTGGGGACGGCCGTGTACATGTGGGAAGGTGCGGTGCGCGAACCAGCCAGCCAGCCAGTGGCAGGCAGACACAAGAAGCCAGGGGGGCATGCCATTCGCTGTGTGTCCTGTGTCATGTGTGTGCAGGTGTTGGGCTGATTTTGCCCATTCGTTCGTCCATGAAGGAGCACCTGAAGCCCAAGTTCCCTATGGTGTGCACACCTGCAGAGATGTGACACCTACTCAATCAACGGACCGGACCCCTGCTCGCTCCCCCTGTGTTTGTCTGTCATGGGTTGTCAGATCTTGTTTTTCAGTTTGTTGGGCGTGCTGGTGGTCTATTCGCTTTTCTGCAGCTTCTCGTACCTGGCCTATGGCTCCGACATCCGTGACGTCATCACTGTCAACCTACCTAACACACCCGCCGTATATGCCGTCCAGGTACGCTACACGCCAACCACAGGCGCACTCATACACAGTTCCCTGTGTGTGTGGTCCTGATCTCTCTCTCTCTCTCTGTGTGTGTGTGTGTGTGTGTGTGTGTGTAGATAATGATGGCCCTGGCAGTGTTCCTGACGACGCCGCTTCAGCTGTTCCCCGCGGCCAAGATCGTCGAGCACTGGCTATTCGGCATCGGGGGGCGCGTGACGCTGCTCAGGAAATGGAAGAAGAACCTCGTGCGCACTGTCATGGTACGCACGCATGATCAGATCACAAACCACACCACTCCACAAGCAGACCGACACACATATGATATGTGGCTGTGCGCTGCGCCTGTCTGTTGCTCTCTTCTCTCAGATCGCGATTTGCCTGGCTGTGGGTTACTACGGGCGCCCTGAACTGGACAACTTCGTGGCGCTGGTGGGTGCGGTGTGCTGCGTGCCGCTGATCTTCATCTACCCCTGCCTGTTCCACCTGATCCTGGAGCGGCAGACGGTGTCGCTGGTGGGCAGCGCCACAGACCTCTTCATGGTCATCCTGGGGTTCGTCATGATGGGATTCACCGCATGGCAGGCCATCGCGACATGGCACCCCACTGGCAACTTCTCGAGGTGCTCAGAGATGTTCGACGTCCCACACGCGACGTCCTGACACCCACCTCTTTTGTGTGTGAGAGTGGGCTCATTTGTTGGGTAGAAGTGAGGATGGGGAAGAGGCTGGAGGGGGGAACTCAGGTGGTGGGTGGGTGGGTTTGGTTGGTGCTGGGCTGTCCGACAGGATGAGATAAAGTGGGTGGGTGAGGGCGATACGTCTAGCGCTATGTGGCTCGGCGAGAAGACATGTCATATGTGTGTATCGTATTGTATAACATGGCGTTACATGGGAAGCATGCTCGGTGGACCGACAGATACGTATGTACTGTAAGTGCACTGCGCGTGCATGCATGCGTCTATGTATGTATGTCTGTATGTCTACATAAGGCTCCCTGTCCAGGTGCGGTGCTTTGAATGGACCGCCTCTCTCCACCTGTCTCTCTCTCTCTCTCTCTCTCTGGCTGGCTGCCTGTGGTGGCCTGTGTGCGTCGCTATTGGTACTGTCTTGTTCTCTGCGCGCGTGTGTGTGCTCCAACACCGGGGACGCCCCTTTTTCTCTGTGTAATGAAGTTTCTGAGGACAGGACAGGATGGGTCTCACTCACTGGGTCTGCCGTGTCGTGAGTGCTTTACGTGCTTTTTCTCACACACTTGTCGAAAGAGGTTGAGGGAGGGAGAAAGGGTGGTTTTTCCAGACATGTGTCGCCTGCCTTGCCTGCGTGTCCGTACGGACGGACGGACGTACGTCACGTCAGTGTCAATCCAAACGCAAACAGACTGACAGATCCAGCTGCGATAGCGGAGCTTTTTAGCTTGCACACTCGAGTCGAGATCGACTGACCCCATTACCCAGCGAATCGTATTGCCGCTGTTGAGATGCAGCACATCTGTGCAGCAGCGGCTTCGCAGTGCCGACTCGTCGGCAGTACTCATCGTCAGCGCATATCATCCCCACCCGTCAGCCCCAATTCCCCCCAACTCGACCCGTTCGCGCCATCAGCGCCTCATCGAGGGCCGGCGCACCCCTCCTTACCTATCAGCATCATGCCATATGGCATTCCTGACGGCCGCTATCAAAAACACGCCATCAACGACCACAAACCAGCGGCAGAAGGCCCCAAATCGCTGAGAGGCGGCTTTCCGGTGACCATGACGGCCGCAAATGGGCATAAGGGCCCAGCTATGACCACAACTGGGAGGTTTCCGCCCCACAAAGCCACCAAGATGAGCATCTCTGGGACCAGCATGCCATCAGCTGCCGCGCCAGCGGCCAGCATGTCGGCTATGATAAAGGGCAAGTATGACGGGACCGGGGCCATGCATGGGAGCATGAGCAGGGAGAGGGGAATCGTCAACGGCAACGTGCCACACATCGCTGGCCCCACTGCCGTGAGGGTAAGTTCGTGAGTGGGGGAGACACCCAAACCTGCAATGAGATCATGGTTAAACTTCTCTTCGTTCGCAGGTCTCCGGTGGTATTCATGGAAGGCTGTTTGTCGAACAGCAGACGTCACCGAGTCTGCACCGACGCACACCGAGGCCGGCCACACCGATGCCTCGTGATACGGCCATGACGGGGAGCGGGAGGCTCTATGTGAGGCGGGAGAGTGAGGCCGTGCATGGCAACAGAATGGATGTGCTCGGTGGGAGCGGAGGGAACGGGAGCCTCAACGGCAACCCTCCACACATGAGGGTGAGTGAGTGACACACACAGAAACCTTTTCTCAGGATGTCTATGTGCTGTCGCTCGCTTTGTTTTTATTTGTTCAGGACGGCGGTGGCCAGCAGGTGCACTCGGCATCGCGTGTCAGCAATCTGGGCAATGTGGGAACGGACACCAGTGGAGACATCCTGAGGAACTCCAATGTCATGTCAGCCGTCAAGGGGGGCCACAGTGATGCCATGACGGTTAGCGCATGAGCGAGCGAGACACAGCCATACGCAGCGGACAGATGCATAATATGTTCTTCTTTCGCAGGTCGGTCGTGTTGAGAACCTCGTGGGCAGCAGCCAAAGGCCGCCGAGCCTGCACGTCCGGCACCCACCAAGGCCAGCCACACCGATGGGTGGCCATGTGGCTGTCAACAACAGCGGGAGGCTCTGTGTGGGGCGGGAGAGTGGTGCCACACATGGCAGCAGAGTGGATGTGCTCGGTGGGAGCAGAGGGAAGGGCAACGTCAGCGGCAACCCGCCACCCAGTGGGAACTCCACTGCTGTGACGGTGAGTGAGTGAGTGATACACACTGAAGCCTGCACTCAAAATGTCCATGTGCCGATGTGATGTGGTCGATTTTAGGACGGCGCTGCGCGGCCGCATGCATCGCGTGTCAGCAGTGTGGGCGCTGTGGGCGTGGAGCCTAGTGGACTCCACCTGAAGAACCCCAATGGCATGTCGGCCATCAAGGGGGGCAACACTGAGACCGTGACGGTGAGTAAATGAGCGAGAGAGACACAGCCATACGCAGCTGACAGATCCATCATGTGCTCTTTGTTCCCAGGCCGGGCGTCTTCAAGAGAGACCACTGCCTCCTCAGAACCTCATGGGCAGCAACCAGAGGCCACCGAGTCTGCACCTCCGACATCCACCTAGGCCGGCGTCAGCGATGCCCGGCAACGTTCTCACGAGCAACAGTGGGAGGCTCAGTGTGCGGGGGGACAGAGAGACCATGGATGTGGGCAGAGAAAGGGGCAGCATCAGCAGCAACCCATCACACAACAGCAGCACCGCAGTGAGGGTGAGTGGGCGGGCGCGGCGCATGCACGAGACACACACACAAGCTCTATCCATATGTTCATGCGCTTGCGATGCTCTCTTGTTCAGAGTGGCAGTGCTCGCCTGTCATCGAAGTCGATGGCCGGCGGCGTGGCCATGGCAGTGGGTGGACAGAGGGACAGCAAGAGCGCCACTGGCCCGCCTCGCCCGATGATATCGGCCAGGAATGGCAGCAGGACGGCGATGCGCGTCACACAAGACACACGACGGCCTCACAACCAGCACACCATAGCGAGGGTGAGCGATTGCACGAGCACGAGACGCGCACAAACCTGATTGCGAGGATGATTTGTTCGCCCTGTTGGTTGATGCAGGATGGCACCACAGCCGCGTCGGTGCCGCCCAATGTCAGCCACCGCAACCCGGCCATCAACCGGCGAGTGTGTAGCCTCGCCTCACAGAGGGACACCAACAACACCAAAGCACCCACAGCAACCAAGGTGAGAGAGAGAGAGAGAGAGAGAGACGGACACCACACGCATCAATGTCATCCATGTCTCTGTGCCTATGATTGCCAGGTTCGCAACGCCTTCATGTCGTGGCTCCGCCGCCTCCAGAAAGGCCTGACCACCCTGACAAGGCGCCAAAGCCTCCCACCCACCGCCGCCCCGCCCCCCTCTCACACACATACACACGCAGCCCTCACACAGGATGACGCCCAGAAGGTCATATTCTTTGACCTCGACGATACACTTATACCGAGCCATTACCTGGAGGCTCTGGGCGTGCATCTCTTCCTGGCGGCATGCGCCAAAGGCCAAGAGCCTGACGGCCAGGGCCTATTCCAAGGCGTGTCCACTGGGCAGCGGGAGAGCACAGCTGAGGAGGTGGTCAAGGCCTTTGAGGAGACCGGCAGGGCGGCCGAGGAGGTCATCCAGGTTTGTCTGCGGGAGGGATGGCAGCCTATCCTGGTTACGAATGGGACACCTAGATGGTGAGTCATCTGATATACACACGAAGTCACAATCCATTCATCCTGTTCTCTCTCTCTCTCTCTCTCTGTCTGTCTGTCTGTCCGTCTGTCTGTCTGTCTACAGGCTGGATGCCGTGTTCCAGCAAGGGGCATTCGAGCGCCTGGGACGGGCCCTAAAAGACGCCGGGGTGCCCGTCATATCGGCCCGCCAGCGTGCACTGAGTCGGCTCCTGCGCCCCAGCATGGACAACGAAACGATGGCCAAACAAGCCAAGGAGGCGCAGTATGAAATATCGAAGGTGAGCAGGGACATAGAGAGGGAATTCCTCTCCATCATACACACATGTCTGGATGCGTGTGTGCATGTGTGTTGTGTGTGTGTTTGGGTGCTGCTGGTTTGTTCAGGCCATCGCCATGCTGGAGGAGATGCAGAAGCGCCCAAGTGCCACCCATGTCGCCAGCGTGGGCGACCAGGTGTGGGATCTGATACCCCTCGACGAAATCAAACGGTAGGTGGGGAGCGGAGCCCACACAGAGACACAGAGACGGGGCACGAGATGAATGCATTACCCGACCTTTCTGCAGACGCCGGCCTGACATGTCTGTGTGCAAGATCCGGGTGCAGCGGCCACTGGGGGTGACACATTTCCTCAATGTGAGCGGCCAAACCCAACACACACATACGTGCAGACACACTCTAGCGATTGCTGTGGAAATGAATGCCCATGTGTCTCTCCGTTGTCTGTTGACATATTGGTTCATGCAGCAACTCAGCCGCCTGAAGGAAGCCATCCCCACCATCCTACGGTCGACGACGGACGGGCCCCCCACGGACCACAACTACGGCCTGGTACACTGAAAAGGGGAAAAGGTCAGAATTCGATTCTCATGTCTCTCGCTCCCCTTGGCTTTGTTGCAGCGGTTGGCAAACAACCAGAGCGGCGCGTTTGAGGCGGTCAGGGAAGCGGACGGGCGGGCCCCAGGCCACGATGAGTACATCTCCCAGGCCAAGGAGAGCCAGCCCGACCGACTCGACCACACGGTAGGTCGACCCGACACACAACAAAGGAGCCTTCCACACACACCTCGCTGCTGGTCTGTGTGTGTGTCGCTCCAATGGATGTCCATCCATCCATCCATCCATCCATGCAGGTGCTCGATGACTTCATGGACACCACCGCCCCGCCCGACGAGTACACCTTTCCCCTCCTCTCCCAGCCACCGGCACGCCCACACATCACCCCGACCGCCCGGCTGATAATGAAGACTCTCGCCAACAGGGACCACCTGCGCCAGGTGGAGAGGCGGCGGGGCATGTCCCATGAGGACACCACCTCGTGGCGGCAGAGGGAGCAGCAGATAAATGGGGCCATCGACTCCATCCTTGACCGTCTTCCCCCAGAAGGGCCCCACCAGCATGGCGCCACGAGAGTGAGCAGGAGGGCGGAGGGGGCGAGGATGGTTCTCGTCAGAAAGCCGGGACACAGTGAGAGGAGGAGCCGTGTGGACAACGAGCCAACCCCGAAGGTGGACCCGCTCCCTCCCCAGGTCCCCTCTGCCCACCCACATGTGCGCACCCTGTTGTCGCTGCCCATGCCGCACCCCGTCCACGCGTATCCCATCCCTCACCCCCCACACATGGCAATGCAGCAGCAGCAGCACCCAAACGCAATGCAGCAGCAGCAGCAGCAGCAGCAGCAGGGCCCTGCCACCAGCTACCACAACCATCACATGGTGAGAGCGAATCGAAAGACACACGCGCTGACTGACACCCAGAGAGACAGACAGACCCAAAGAAGCACATGACGATGCTCTGATATTCTGTGTGTGTCTCTGTGTCGGTGTGTCAGGCTGCCCTTCGTTTCGAGCATGGTGCCATGCTCCGTCCGGCAGTCCACCAAAAGCACCCCTACAGCCGTCTGCACGTGTATCCCACCAGGCGCCTCCCGACCAATCTCCATCTCATGGCCCCCCGCCGCCTCTGACCCACCTATCCAATGCGTCACACACACACACACACATCACTGGAGCGAGAGAAGGGGCAGTCGTAGCAAGCCTGGCTGACGTCTGAGTGAGTAGTGGGTCAGTGGGTATCCACTCGTGGCGGCAGGGCTGCCATGCGTGTGCTGAGTGTACGGTATTTTCAAGGCGCTGGTGGCCTAGAGAGTGGGTGACGGCACTAGGCTGTGCCACCCTCACTGCCTGGCTGCCTGGCTCTCGAGATCTTTTCTGCTGCCGTGGAGTGTCTGTGAGCGATGGATGGATGGATGGATGCTTAGACGCGACAACGGTTGGCTGAGGGTGAGGGTGTCTGTGTGCGTGTGGCCAATTTCAAGGCGTTGGTGGTTTAGAAGCGTGTGGCCGCCTCCGACCTATACAATGCGTCACACACATACACATACATCAATGCAGCGGGTCGTAGCAAGCCTGGCTGACTGAGTGAGGGGCGGGTGAGTGTGTTTCCATCCATGGCGGATGTGGCTGCCATGCGTGTGCCGAGTGCATGGCATTTCAAGGCGCTGGTGGCCTAAGAGTGGGTGACGGCACTAGCTAGAGGCCTGTGCTACCCTCACTGCCTGGCTGGCCCCTGCCTCTCGAGATCTTTTCTGCTGCCGTGGAGTGTCTGTGAGCGATGGATGGATGGATGGATGGATGCTTAGACGCGACAACGGGTGGGTGAGGGTGTGGGTGTGGGTGTCTGTGACTGCGTGTGGCCAATTTCAAGGGACCGCTCCATGCTCGGATGATGCATCTATCGACTCTATGTGATTGTTCAACCCGCCACACACAGGCATGTTCCATACACGAATGGGTGTGCATCCCATCCGGCTCTCTACCCACTGTCCTCAGCCAAGACACAGCCCCACCCGGGCCACCCACCCGCTACATTGCATAGCAGCAGCATGCTATTGCCACCACGGCGTAGAGCGACCAACGCGGTGTCACTCACCGGCGCGACAGCTTGGTGCACCTGAATCGTGACCTGATGACAGGAAGCCAACCAGCCGATACACAGCAAACGGCGCCCTTCCCCCTTCTTCCCTCACCCTCACCAGCAATTCGATGCTGCCTCGACGATTGCAGGAATCACCGGATCCACAACTAATTAGGCGATTGTGTGCTCTCCATCCATCCACCAGATCATCAGATGTCCAGCAGCAGCATCACGGCCAGTGCACATTCCACAAAGAAGAAAACGACGGGCCACTGGCCCGGCCACTCGATGAGCGCCGCCACGATGCGGCCGCCAGCCATCCCCAGCAGCGACACGCACACGGCAAGGAGCACACCGCCATTGACACCCGGGTAGAAGGGCGCGGCGAAAAGCAGCGCCCCGACAGCCACGCCAAATCCACCGTACACGGCCCGCACTTCGTTCCTTGAGTCGGGGTGGACGGGCGAGAGCCTGAAGAAGCCAACCACAAAGTGCGGGCTGATAAGAGCGGCAAGACCCATCGTGATGAAGAAGATGGCAACGATTGCGACTTGGATGGACACCAAGCTGCTCTCTGCAGTCATTTGGATGGTGCTCTCACTTTCAGATCTTCCACTCAGATTGCAGATCTTGAGCTCGCAGACGAACCGCTCCCGTGCCATTTTGTGGGCTTTACTCACAATGAAACACAGATTGATGCATTTCTGCCCGCATGCGTGCAGGTCATGGATGTGAGTATCCTCTTCGACAACAATCTGATCTCCGACATTGACTCTCAAGACCCAGCTCGACAAAAGGATATCCTCGAAGTAAGACGGATGGACGACAGGATCTCTTCATCTGATGGCCTGCATCCCCTCTGCCCCGTCCCTCCGTGATTAGTGCCTGTGTCACCTGTATTCCCTCGTGACGGAGGAGGATGCCGACAAACCAGACAGCAAGGCCAAGCGCAAACACGCGGAGCGGCGGCCGTTTCTGCACCCCGACGACATCGCCGTCGAGATCCGCGCATACGCCACCGATGAGGACGGCACAACCACGCTGGGCGGTGTCACCAAGCCCAACCTCCTGTGGCTGCAAGCCAGGATGGCCATGATGCCCAAAGTCGTCCATGTCAACGCCGTCGACTCGGCCATACAGGTAAGTAGGTCGCTGAAGAACAAGGCATAAGGAGTGAGACGGGAAGGGGTCGACGTGTGCATCGTCACTGGTCTGCCTACCGCTTGAGCAGGGTGCGGTGACGTTCAACCAGGGCAAGGCGTTAGATCTGTTGCTCAAGTGCAAGAAGGAAATACTTTTGAGGAACCAGGACCTCAACTTCCATCGGATGCTCATCGAGCCACCGCTGCAGCTCGCTAAGCCAGAACCAGCCACCATGATCACCAAAGGTACCGTCGCTCAATCGAGTCAAGCCACAACGTACCCAACTAGCTCTACACTATATCCATGGTGTGCATGTGGGTATGTGTCCGTAGATTACGTGCCGACCCCCATGGTGACCCAGGCTGTGATGCTCGGCAACCTCCGCATGCTGGTGGTACGCGTGGATAAGTGAGGCAGCTCTATACCAAAATCAAAGTGCGCCGCTCACCCCCCTGATTTGTATCAGAAACTGGCACAGACGGACGAGGTGGACACCGAGGCCATCGGACCGATATGCATCCTGCGCAAACGTCAGTTAGCCACGACACGAGGATGGATGGCTGCCTGAGCGGGTAAACTGACGCGGGGATGGTGTGTCTGCTGTGATTTCTTTGGTCAGCAAAGCAAATTGAATACGTCACTTCGTCTCCGTTGGGCGCCGCGTGCTTCTGGGCGAGACCCAACGAGGCCAAATTCCTCCTCATGAAAAGTACAAGCGCGAGCACAGGGCATCAGAATGACCGTGACTGTCCCCTGCTCAGACTCTGACATGAAGAAGGGTTACAAGTTGGAGGTGATCGTCAAGGACAATCTCGAGCGCGAGAGACCCATCCTGCAGACCAACATACAAAACCCACACAGCCCACACACCAACAGAACACCGCGCAAAAGTACGTCGCAATAGAGCCGGGCAATACAAAAAACACCGACAAGGCAACCATAACATGCCCTCTGTTCGTCTCTTTCCTGTTGATTGGATTGCGTCAGGTCGTTGGGATTCCGTCACGTTTGTGCACATGGCGTGCGAAGGACCACCCAGAGGCGAGCGCTCCAACCTAGTGCGCAGGACTATCGCCAAGACACACACTGCCGCTGACCCACCCGCCGCCGCCGCTGCTGCATCATCCTCAAGCGAGCGACCGAACGAGGACGTCGAAATAGAGACTGGTCAGGGCACACACTCGCACAAAAGTCCCTGTCATGTCATGTCATGTTGTGCCATGTTGTGCCATGTTGTGTTGTGTTGGGTGCACCCTCCATCCGTCCACTAATCTGCCTCAGTAGAGTGGGTTGAGAATCGCCACAGTGAGGATGAGCTGGAGCGCGATGCGGTTGAGCTGCTCAAGGTGCTCAAGGAGTACGGCGGCGAAGACTTCGCCGCCGGTCTTCGGCAGCCAGACAGCGAGGGCAACCTGCCCCTCCACGTGGCGGCCAGGGCCGGCAGGAAGAAGCTGGTCAGGTGGCTACTGGGCCCCGACATACTGCCCCTCATCGACGTTGCCGCCGTCAACAGGGACAATGAAAGCGCAGAGAGAATGGCGGCCAAGCGGGGACACAAGGTCAGTCGCTTACAATGACAGATTGCAGATCAATGAAGAATTGAATTCCCTATGTATGTTCATGCCCATTATCTGATCGTCACATGTCGATATATTGCCAGGATTGTGCTGAGTTGATTCGCAAGACGGCTGAGGCGGACCAGAAGAAGGCGGACCAGAGGGCCGCTGAGAACGCCCGCAAACTCATCGCGGAGGAAGCCCGCAAAGGCAGGAACAAGCAGAGCCAACGAAAGGTGGAAGCGGGGGTGAAGGACACATAGCGACAGCTGACATCCATCAGACTGCCAAGACAGATACGGGCGCTTCCATCCACGTGCTGTGAATGTCTGCAGAAGGGTCGCAGCGGGTCAAAGGAGAAGACCGCAGAGGAGCAAGGTGCCGCACAGGCCGAGCAAGCCCCTGGCCACATGCCATTCCTCTCGGCAACACGGAGGTCCTCCAACCAAACACAAGTCGACAGTAAGCCAGCCAAACACAAGTCGACGGACGAAGCGACATTAAACTGTGTACCTGTCTCTGTCGCTTCGTCCGTCCCAACCAACAGGTTCTGCTGCCCCTGCCGTGGGAGACGTCGACGGCGACTCAGACATGGTGGTCGGCGGGCCGATGTCGAGTTCGCCTCAACCCGGGGGAGACCTGTCGACCACGTGAGCATATCACTGCATCGCCAGGTGCTCGCAATATGGAGCGTGCCTTCGTCCATTGCAGACTCAACGAAAACATGAGTGGCGTGCCGTCCTCTTCGGTGCCCTCCGCTGCCGCATCCATTAGGTATGTCAGCCAGCCACCTCAGACCATGGCTGATGGAACTGTTTACCTCATGTGTGTGGTGTGCACTCTATGTGTAGTCGGGCTTCTGCTGCGGACGAGGCTGAAGCGGATGTACCGGGACCCTCTTCGTCCATCGCCGACACGTGAGCAGTCGATGCACTTGACGTGGCGCCCAACTCCATCGGCCTCTCGACTGTCTGTCTGTTCTGACCTCTCTTGCTGCAGGTCTGCTATGCCATCCCGCTCAGCATCGCTGGCAGATGGCGATCGGTCTGGTGATGGTAATGAGGCGGTCGGTTCGGCGGCTGGTGGAAATGACGACAGCGATGATGAGGACGGCGACGCTATGCTGCTCAAATCGGCGTTCGGACAGCAAGCACGACAACAGCTGAGCGAGGGCAGGAAGAAGAAGAAGAGCAAAGACAAACACAACACCAAGCCGACCCCGACGCCCACATCTCAGCCGAGCCAGCCGTCCCGCCCCTCATTCCCACACGCAGCCAAGGCCACCGAGATGGGACGGCCGGCGACTAGTACTGCTGCCGAGAGTCGCTGCCATGGCGGCAACGCGCCAATTCCGATGCCATTCCCAGCTGCCATTCCCCTCTTCTCCAAGGACCGCTTCAAGACGTCACCTGGCAATGGGGGAGTGTTCCCTCCTCTGCCGAAGCGTCTGCCGGTGCCCGACCCACTGCCATCTGACGATGACAGTCCGTCTGGCGGTGCGTCGCCTCTCCCCCGGCCCATGGGAGGTCGTGGGGCTGGGAGGGGCCTTATGACGATGTTTGCCCACCAGCCGCCCCCGATCCCCTCCATCCCGCACCCCCGACTCCCATCGGCCGAGGAGCTGCGCAACAGACCGTCACTGCAGCACACTGGACAAGACCACCAACAGCAGCCGACACGGGATGAGGGGCCGAGGTGAGATCCGTCGTCACATCCATGCGGTCGGTTGCACACGCCAGATGTCCGTTGTCCCTCTACGTCTCCTGCAGCCTTTCTACGGATTCTCCTTCGGTGAGTTCGTCTACTCTACCGGATTTCCACGCCCACGTGGTGGGGGACCGTCGTGGGGGTGGTGATGAGCGCCTGGCTGGCCAGGTGGACGTGGAGACCGATGGAGGGGCGGCGGGGCATCGTGACGACGGGCGTGTGAGTGTTGTAGACGAGACTGAGGCGATGCGGGCCAGGTGAGAGGTAGCTAGGCAGTTGACCGATGGGGAGATCTCTGCGCCCGTTTGTCAGGTTTGCTGCTGAGTTGCTGCGCAGGGACCAGCAGATCGAAGCCCTGCGGTGAGAGAAGAGAGGGAGGAAAGAGAGAGAAGGATTGATTAATCACCGGTGTCTGCTTGCAGGCATGAGTCGATTGCCGCGCATCGAGAGATTGAGCAGTACGCAGCCACCAACGCACCCATCCACTTCCTCTGTGCCTTCTTTGGTCTCTGTGCAGGCTGCGTGAGGCTCAAATGGCGGGCGAGCAGACCGTCGCCGACACTCTGGCGGCCAACGAGTGCCTCCAGGCGAATATGCGTCAAGCCAATGCGGTCCATCGCCAGCAGCTCAGCCAACAGCACCAGCAGCTCACCAGGTGCGCACACCAAACAGGCAGGCACAAGGCCATGTGGGTCTTGTGTGTGTTCAGTGACATCGATCGCGAAAAGTCTGCAAATCAGCAGCTGCAGCACCAGTTCGAGCGGCACAAGCGGTCAGGCACATACATTCAAGAACGATGTAATGAGACTCATTTATTGATGTTTGCTCTTTGGACCATTGCATGCGTCGCGTCAGGGCCGCCGCGGAGAGGGAGGCGTCACTCCGACAGGAGAACGCATCGCTCAAACAAGACAACACAGCACAGGCACACGTCATCGCAATGTACGCACCTACCTACCTACGACACACAGATAACACACATCGTGAAAGGGAGCCCTCTGCTGTGCTACATCTTCCTGCTCCTGTCTGTCGGTCGGTCGGTCGGTCTGTCGGTCGGTCTGTCAGCCTCGGCGAAGCCAATCGGGCGCTGCAGGTCGACATAGGTCAGCTGCGGAGCAACCAAATCGACAAGTCAGTACTACTCATCCATCTTCCCCAGCAAGACGTGTGTGTGTGTGTGTGTGTGGTTTAGGTTGAATGAGGCCTTCGAGAGCCTGACGACGGAGGCTGAGCTCAACGGGTTTGCCGTGCAGCTGGCGGCCCGGCAGACGGCCATCATGACGAGTGAGCTGCCCCAGCTGCAGTCACTCATCACCAGGGCACACCAGAGGCATATGCATGCCCGCAGCCAGGCGCAGCAGGCGGCCCATGAGAGGCAGCAGGCCGAGTTGCGGCAGCAGATGCAGCGCCAGATGGAGGAGCGCACCGACTGTCAAGTGTGCCATGAGATAGAGAGGTCGGTGGTGCTGCAGCCGTGCGGCCACTTCTGCATCTGCCAGCAATGTGCGCAGAACCTGCAGCCCCCCGAGTGCCCACTGTGCCGGCAGGTCTTCACCAGCTGGACCAACGCCATATTCTCGTGACAAGAGATCGACCCACTGTGGGTGTGTGGAGGGGTGGGTGCTGGGGCGGGCTGTGGTGTGTGGTGGAATGCGTGGTGGGTTTAAGAGCTTTGCTGTCGTGTGTGGGCGTTGGTGTCGGTGTCGCCTGTGTATGGGTTCGAATTCATAGATGCATGTATGAATCTCATTCCCTTCTGCATACCGACAGTAAGTTGGTGTATCAATCTGTGGCGTGTACATGCAGGGGTCTCGCCCATGTGGGGGCCACCACATACGGCCGAGGCGCACACGGCGCAGGTATCTTGTCGTGTGGGTCAGTGCGTCAATCAGGTTCTTTCGTACCATGTGGCCGTTTTTGTCTGTCATTCACTCCATTGCATACATACATACATACGAACGTCTGTGTATGTGTGCCGCTTTATGTACGTATGTATGCACGTGTACGTGTGTACGTATTGGCTTTATGTAGTGCGTGTGTCCACATACTGCTCGCTGCATGTCCGTGTGCGTGTGCAAGTGCGTGCCGGCATATCTATTTATCCACACACGTGTGGATGAACTCGACTACTCAATCCTCTCAGTTGCACACACACGGTTGTCAGCCGGCCGGGAAACGAATTGTTTCCAATGCATTCATTCTGTATGTAAAAACGCCAATTATACAACAATTGCAGGTCTAGGGGACAGACCCACTCCCCTGTGCTTTGTCCTGTCCCCTCACTAACAAAATTCGTTCCATCCATCCGTCCACGCATCGCATCCATCCATCATTCCATCCACGCAATGCATGGACAGCCAAGTCATGAAGCGCATCCACACAAGACAAATGTCTGCATAACACAACGCACACTCCGCGCTGCCTACGTGTACACATACGTCACATCACACAGCTCACGCACCCTCTATTGACGGCCTGCCTCGTAGGCGCGCTGTTCCTCCAGCTTCGCCAAATCGTCCGGAAAGACACACGGCGCGAATAGCGGATGGCGTCGAGGGTGTCTTTCCACCTGTCCGTGTCTCTTGCTGTGTGTGCTGTGTGTCTCACTCACTCACTCACTCACCGTTTCCACGTGTCCCACGTGTCCTCCGTATGAAGTCGATCTTTATCTCGTCGGGGAGGCACTGCCGCGTCACCGCCCGCAGGGCAAGGGGTGGTCACTTTGTATTTAGGGGGTGGTCTTGTTTGGCCTGTAGCTCCACGGGGTTGGTGAACAGAATGAAATTGACTCCATTATATAATGGCCTGAAAAGTGCGAAAAACAGTCGTCACAAGCATAATGAGGGAATGAATGTGACTGGTCATGCGGAAATCTGCGCCATTCTCATACTGTGTGAATGAGCCATCAATGAAAAACTTACCCCCCATGATTGAGTTGGTGATTTCTCGGCTGTTTCTCCTCCTTTTCGGATGAGCGAGCGTGTATCGGACTACACCCAACCCCCTCCACCTACCCTCATCCCGCGAGACGGCGGCGGGCCCCCCTGTTGCGCATGCAACGAGAAAGGGACGTCTGCGCTGTCCACATGCAGCCGACGATGTGACTGCCGGAATCACAAGCGCCTCTGCACTAACTGTGTCAACTGCAAGCGCGGCACATGCACGAATTTTGCGTATCCGGCGGACCCGGCCGTTTGCGATGATGTGTCTATCGCCCTCGCGCGTGCGACTAGCTTCTGTCTGCGTGGGGGAGGGAGGGGAGGGTTTGCGGGACTGGGGTGTCTTGATGGAGCGGGGATTGATCCCTCCTCCCCTTGAGCCTGTTTGAGTCTGCGTGCTGATGGGACTGTATTTGTATGAGTATCACGGACACACAGACGAGTGTTACGGTTAATGACAGTTTCCCCCCAAAAAATGATTAATGAGGTGGGTGGTTCATTTTTGCTCATTCTCGCTCCTTTTCGTACCGCAACCGTTCATTCATCGATCATTTGTGTGTCCAGCAGCACAGCACGACACCCAACGTCCTTCCCCAAGGCATACACACCACCCCCACCCATGCTGCAGCCAAGACGGAGAGAGAAAGCGGACAATCCATCAATCAGAGACGCAGACAGACCATGGCGGGTACCGAGACACGTGACGGCATGCACAGCCAGCCCATGGGCATGCGCGGCTAACACCACGCCAGCCAGCCAGTCAGCCATTCAGCCCATCCACACCTCCCTCCCCCCTTCCCCCACCCCTATCACACATCCATCCGCTCATATGCGCCTACTGCAGCAGCAGCAGCTGCTGCGGCTGGGCGAAGGGGCTCTCGGCCTGCTGCAGGCCGGGCAGGTTGGCCTCATCAGCCGCCCCGCCCTCAGCAGCAGCAGCAGCCGCCCCGTCCCCCGCCCCGCCCCCCGTGTGGGCCTGGGTCTCGCCCAGCTTGCGCTTGCCGGTGAGTTTCTTGCCCGTCCCCTCCTCCCCCAGATGCGCCACGCGGATGTGGATCATGATGTTGTTCGGAGGGTTTCTTCTGCAGCACCTTGCGCTTGATCGTGATCGGATGTTTCGTCGCATGTCAGCTTCGCACTGAACTTGTCAACTACCTGAAAGCGACGCAACACACATACGTTCAGGATAAGACCTACACGCCACGCCCTGCAGATGGATACCTGAACCGAAACCTTCGCCACCGTCTCGTGTAGCCCAACTTCTTGGCGTGGTGCGTGATGCTGTCTTTGAGCTGAGCCGCTACACTATGGACACCGTCTTCTCCTCCGCCTTGTCCAGCTTCCCCTACACTCACACCCACACACCCACACGTCGGTGCGTCCATGTATCCATCGCTGTCGTACCGTTTTGTTCGCCGAGTTGGTCGACAGCTGCTGCGCCTGGCTCGGCATCGCGCCCCCGCCCCCCCCGCCCCCGCTCGATGATGACGCCCCAGGCAGGCTCACTATGCCCTTTCCCACCAACATCTGCTGCTTCTGCACACCGAAACCAACAACGTATCACAAGATCTATGCCGAAAGGAAGCCTCCCAGTTGCCCACCTGTGTTTTGCTCATGAAGTTGCGCATCTTGGCTCGGTCCTTGAGCTGCTCCTTGACAATATCGACGTGGGCGGGCTTCCACACATCCTTCTCCTTGCCCTTCTTGCACCTCGCAAGGAACTTATCGAACATCTCGACGGTCATCTGTCGCAAAGCGACCATCGCAATGGGGGGTGAAGCCTCACCACAGAAATTCAGCCGGTCTATCGTATCCGTCAGCCATGAAGGACTCCACTTCCTCTTTCGTTAGATCCTCAAGCAGGTGGGGAAACCCATTCTGCAACTGCTTCCAAGCTGGGGCCGGTGGCGGATCTTCCATGCTGTGATCTTCACCGGCAGATGGCCGAGGGGCGGGGTCTTCAGGAGAAGGCTGATGGTGGATGGGCTGGGCGGCATTGTCCGATTCGGCTGCTGACGGCACCTGGCGCGGACGGCTGCCCTTCACTAGTCCATACAGGCTCGTCTGCATCAGGCCGGCTTAGCACCGCAGCAGTGCCTGCAGGTGTCAGAAACACAGCCAATTCACGAGAGCAAATGAATAAATCAATGAATGAGGGGATCATCAAGCAAGCTGCTTGCCTTGCTGTACCACCCTATATAGGTACTACCACAGTCTTGCCGCCAAGCGTCGTTCGCGCTCGGATCGCCGCGCATCTCGCACACCAAAAAAGAGAAAAAAGAGAAGTAGAAGTGATGGAGGCGTTGAGTTCACCGCCTCTTTGGAGCTCCATCGCCACCGGCACAGTGCGTAGAGGATCCTTGGTGGAGGTGGCGCCCGCAGTGGTGACGGGGCGCAGCAGATCCGTCCGCGGCTCCGTGGCTGAGGTGATAGAGGTGAGTGAGGATGGGATGTTTGTCGACCTCCAGCTGCTGCGGAAGAGGGACCTCGAGCCTTTCAAGAGGCCTGCGGAGGGCATCAAAAGGTCAGCCGGATGCGTCATTTGGCAATGCATCGTCCTTGCATGCATGCACTCTCTGTTTGGGTGTGGATGCGTCTGTTTTTAGAGGTGTGCTTCGAGATGCCATCGTCAGCGTGCTGCAGCCGGTAGGTCAGATGGCTGCGGCTGCCACTGCGCACCCCAGACTTCGCTCCGCACTCTCATCACGAGGGCCCGCCCAATCCCGATCCCCACTCGCGGCTGGCTCGGCAGACAAATGGTGCCGACTGACTGTGCCGCCATCCGGCGCCCTTTTCATCTTCTGGGTAAGAAACCTATACGCCATGTCTCGCTGTGGTTTGCCCATGGGTGTGTTTCCTCATGTAGGATTTGGAGACCAATGAGGGATGCAGGCTGTGTAATGCCATCACCCAGATAGCTGCGGTGGCGCGGCTGTTTAGGGGTGGAGAGTTTGCGGGCATCGGCGCACCCGACTACGAGCGGTACGTCACGACGGGCGCCCCCATGAACACCGTGGCGAGCAAGATGACGGGCATCACCAAGACTCTGCTCAGCAGACAAGGTAGGTGGCAACACGACACACGAGAACGCACGTCTGTTCGTCATGTCTTCCTACGTGTTGCATCAGGCGTGTCGTTGCGTGAGGCCTTGTTGGCCTTCGAGCAGTGGGTGCAGTCGGTGCACCAGCACATCCTCCCACTGCCGGCACCCTCATCCCATCTGCCGATCGGCGATGACGGGGACGACGAGCTCCATGACGCCATGTCCGAGCCAGAGGACGATGGCGTGGACGGGGAGGGGGATGGTGTGATGCCGGTGGTTATGGTGTCGCATCGCGGGTTCATCTGCGACCTGCCGCTGCTGTTCCAGTCGGTGGACAAGACGCTAAACGTCAAGGGCCCCGACTTCCTGCAGGTACTGAGGGATTGAAGGATGTGTCTCACGTCGTGGAGGCGTGTGTCTCTCTCTTCGTGGGTTTGTCGTCGACCAGCGTGCGGGCGTCTTTCATGTTGCTGACTCGTACTATGTCGCCCTCGATATGCGCCAGAAGGGAAAGGCATTCACAGGTAATGAGTGATCGGCCACCGATTCATCGATGGATGTGTGCGCCTATGGGCAGGTCGTGAGAGCCTGGGTCTGTCCGAGCTGCACACCCGGCTGGTCGGACGACCACATGGCAACGCACACAATGCCCTCGGTCAGTGAGCGATGAGTACACAGACCGTCCAGAGGCTCTGATCAATCCATCATGGTGCCTGCCTGCCTGCCTGCATGGCTGGCTTCCTGTAGGTGATTCGCGGGCGTTGGCTGCCGTCTGTGGGCGCGAGCCGCTGCTAGGTGCGTGGCGAAGCGAGAAGGTGGCCATGCGTGTGAGCGACTACGTGCGTGAGAAGCAGCAGAGATCGTGAGCTGCCGTGGCCATGGATGGATGGGGAGAGAGAGAGAGAGAGAGAGGGAGAGAGAGAGGGACAGGGGGAGATGGATGGATGGATGGATGAGGGAGGGAGGGAGGGAGGGAGGCGAGACACGACATGAATGAGCGAATGAGTATGAGAGGTCCCGGCATCCCTATGTGTAGATATACGTGCATACATGTGTATATTAGAGACGTGCAGACACATGCATATGCATTTGTGCGAATGTGTGTATAATTGATGAAATGTCATCTGCTCAAACGTTATTGCAGCCAGAGTAGACGAGTCAGTCCAAAGTTCACCAGCACCAAAGCAGAATCTCGTCTCGCTTTCTCCTGTGCAGACTCCCATTTATCCATCCCACCATCTACGCCATTCTCTCTCTCTGCGCAGCCCTCAACCCTCTCCCTCTCTCAGAACACCAGTGTACTCAACTCGACAGACCGACACTATATATACGAACAACAGCCCATACATACCTCTCAGGCGGCAACAAGTCATAGCCGTTTGATTTAGTCTTCTTTGTGTTGTGTGTTGGTTGTGTCAGGGGGAGTGCAGTCGCCCGTCTTGGCGCAGCACTGGCCCGCAAACATAGACCGCCAGATGGGGCACCTGATCTGTTCCAACAGCCAGTTGCCCGGCCCACACCTGCACACGGCCTGGATCTCCGGAGTCTCAGAGCACTGCTTTGCGCATCGAGTGGCCTGGAGTGTGGTGGTGCCGGTGGGGCACTCAGGCTCGACAGCCGGCACACAGAGCTTGGGCTTTTGCTGTTGAAGGAGACAAATTAGAGCGACAAATACGATGAACCACGTACGAGACACACCAGGAATGAACGCACCTCTCGGATGCAGAAGCCATAGTACTCCGTGGCCCGGCACACTGCGGCGCATGTGGTGGAGCGGGCCTGGTACGTCACCATGTCGCACCACATGAGAGAGTTGCCGGGCCACGGAGGATCGGGAACACACGTGTCCCTGACCAGAATGAGGCACACCAAACAGTCGACAAGAGTCCATCTTTGCATTTGGTGTGCCCCACGTCATCATTGGTGTTTGTGTCAGGCGCGTCTGACCGGCAGTGGGTGTCATCCGGTGCGCAGCTTGAGCAGCGTGGCTTGAGGCCACGGAGGGGCCCATGAGATTCCTCTGCATGAAGCACCGTGCGGAACACCCACACGAGCCAGAAGGATGTATGATGATGGATCATCATGCCACTGTGGCGTATGTCTATACCAGTGTGAGATGATGTGTTCCCTCCAGTCACTGCAGCGGCTGGAGGAGTGATGATCACCAGAAAAGCAGCAACAAGGAACGACAGGTGAGGCCTCGTCATGGGGGAGGGAAGGGGGATGGATAGCGTCGGTGCGGGGGCACGGTGGGGGCGAGACGGCAATAATTGGCCACAAACCAACTAACTGGATGCGTGTACAATTAAGTCCTTTTGTCCGCTTTGTTCCCTCCCTCCCACCCTCCCAATTAGTCCAGTATGTGTGTGTGGATGCCTTTGTGGTGTGTGGTGGTCGACTGACTTCACTTGACAGACCAAGAGCAGACTCCAGTCACCAGGCGAAACGAGAGAGTGAGAGCAGAGTGGGTGATATTGTGTGATGTGGTGTGGTGTGATGTGTCGGCTCACTTTGGCCGGGTCGGCCTTTTACTACCTCCAAAAACCAGAAAGAAAAGACACGCACGAACGGCCTCTCTGTCTATGATATACTGGCTTACTGACTAACACGACACACTAAGGACAGTCTCTCTCGACATCGATGTGTACGGCCATACCACGATTACACTGACGATATGATGCAGCCGTTTGTCTGCCTGTCCGCTTTTATCGGCATCGGGATGTGCAGCAGGCGCGCGCAGGGACTGCACACACAGATAGATCGGAAACGGCACAACAATCACTCACATCCTGTTGGTTGTGTGTTGGCAGTGCTTTGGCTGATCGACCTGGGGGGCGCTGGACCGGCTGGGCGGGAACTGGCTGTGTACACAAAGACATCATCCATGGAGACATACACTCATAAGAGCAAGGCAATGGCGATATGAGGACATGTGTCAGTGTGCCTCCCCCTTACCACAGCTGTGGCGACGAGCGGGGCGCCGGTGTAGCCGCACTGCTCGGGAGTCAACTTGTGCTCGTTCATCTAGCCCACACATACACACACACAGATACATGTCCATCATCCCTCTCGCCCGTGTCTCTCTCTTCTCTGTATGTCATGTGCATCGCAGCGTACGATGTTGATCTGTTCCTGGTTGGGTGTCCATCCCGCCGGCGGCCCCTCGAGCTTCGTCTCGATGACGTCGCCCACCGGCTCGGGTTTGCCGGTCCACGTGTGGCCGTCGCGCATGTGTGTGGTGGGCGGTAGGGGGCCAAAGGCATCTGTTGGCCAGGGCTTGGCGTCCTTGAGCTGCTCCGGGAAGGCCGCTGGGATGGGCTCCTGGATGTGTTTGAACAGGTTGAGGTCAATGCCGTTCGTGGCGAATAGCTCGACCAACTGCATCTAGCTGATGCTCACACCTGACACCACACACCAGGGCACACACATCGCAACAACACAATGGACAGACAGAGACAAAGACACGACCATGTGAGAAGGTGCGGGCATGTGTACCAGGAGGTATGTCAATGTTGAGTGTGGCTTTGATGATTGGCGGGACGACCACGTGGGTGGGACTGGGAGGCAGCATCGTGGTCGTACGGTGGGGAATCACCTACACACACACATCAACACACAGACACTTGGGAGTCACCTGTGCTGTGTTGTGGTGTGTGTGTGTGTGTGTGCGCGCGCTGACAGACCGACCACGGGGTATTTGTTGTACTTGTACTCGTATACGGGCACCTCATAGGGCTTCTCAATGTCCTTGTACCTGCACACACACATTGCACACCGAGACGCCGGCCAGCCCATGTGTGGGGCCCTGGTTGTGGCCGTGTGTCTGGTGTAATGTGCTGACTTGACGACCTCGACCTCCCGGTCGACCACCACCTCTCTGTGAGAGGACACACACAGACACACACAAAGATTGATGGGATGGCAGGGGAAGTCTTATTGCATGCGGGGTGTGGTGACTGCATACTTCTCGACGACGACCTCCTTCCAGATCGGCACCACCTCACCCGGTACAGGCACATGACGCACCTGCGAAACACACAACATCCACTCACACAACGAAATCATTGGCCCCGAGTGCGTGTGCCCGCCAATTGCCTGGCTGACAGACCTCTTCTTTGACGATGTACTTGGGCACTTCCTTGACGACCTCGACGGGCACGTCGACGTAGTGGGGCACGGGGACCTCCTGCACGCGCTCGATGGTCTTGACCTCCACCTTGGGGACGTACTTGATGACCGGCACGTGGATCTGCACACATGGACACAAAGAGGGAGGGAGAGGGGATAAGGCATGCATTGATGATGCCCTCCCTGTGTGTGTCTGTGGGTCGGTTACGTCGATGGGGACCGCCTTGGGGACCTCCTTGACCACCTCCACCACATGAGGCACCTGTGGGTCCAATCACAACGAAGGGCCGCAGGTGTGTGTGGGGATGGGGGGAGGGTGAGTGAACACTGCTATGCTGTGTTGGTTTACCTCGACGACTTTGTCTTTGTATTCGACGACGGGGACCTCCTGGATGCGCTCGACCGTCTTGACCACCGTCTTGGGCACCACACGCTCCTGGACCAACAGCGGACACACACACAGAGAGGGAGGAGGGGCAGGAGAGACACGGATTAACGGACCGTGTCTCTCTCCATTCATCTGTGTGTGCGGCTTACGATGGTTTTGACTTCGACTTTGGGCACATATTTGTTGACCACCTGCACCTGTGGCACCTGAACTCTCACACCACACCCACATGGACCGTGATGGACGGCGTGCCTCCGTCACTCTCCATGTTTGTGCGTTGTGCGGTTGGCCTACCTCGACGACTCTGTCGACGTGCTGGACGACGGGCACCTCGACTTTGCGCTCGATCCATGAGTGGCTGAGCTCCGGCACCTGGCGGACGACCTCATGGACCTCCGGCTTGGGGACGATCTTCTGCGTGTAGACGGGCACCTGACGCTCGGCCACGACGTCCTCGTAGTGCACATCGCTGTAGACGGGCACCTCCACCTCAACCTATATTGGCAGACCGCACACAACACAAATCCTGCGGCCTGCTCATGAATGTCTTGCCCCTGTCTGTCCCCCTGCTGTTCACCGACTCACTCGTCGAGTCCCGGTCTGCACTTGTCCCGCTGGTGTGGTTGTGCGACCCAGGCGGACCAGCTGGGACTGTGTCATCTCGCCCTCACCTCCTGCATGCAATAAACACGACACATGACACATAACACAGAGCCCCTCAGCCCTCAGCCTCATTTCCCCCATGGACAGCCTTCCCTCCCGCGTGTGCCTTTGCCCCTTTCTCCCCTCCCCCGCCCTGTCATCTGCTTCACCTTGTTGCTGCTGTCCGAGTGCGTCCCGCACACTTACAGGCTGCCCCGCTGGGGGGCTGGCGGCCTGTGCGAAGGCGGCCGCCAGAGGGGAGCCGGGAGGGGCCGGGCCACTCATGATGAAATCAAGTTAGATGAATGAGGGGCGGGGCGCGGTGCGTTGACAGACGACGAAGGACGGCCGGAACAGAGCACAAAAAAAACGCCTGTCCAAGCTCGCAGCCGTTTGAGCTCGCGTCACGATCATCGCATGACATTTAGGTCAACAAACCAGCCAACCCGGTCCGAAAGGGGAGGAGAATGATCGAGTGAAAAAAAGTGGTCTGATTCTGTCTGTCTGTCTGCTGTGGTTCTTCCCATCCGTGCAGATCTCGTGAGTCCTGTGTTCGACCAGCGGCTGCATCGCCACAAACAAATCACTGACTGACTTACGTCGGGTGAGCAAAACACCCGACGTAAGTCAGAGTGGCTCCAGATGGATGGGCTGTGTGTGTGTGTGGTGCATGTGTGCAGACTCGATTTCCTTTTTCGCTTATCACATCGCCGCTGGCTCGCCACCAGCTCACGTAAGGAGGCAAACAAGGCGCTCTAGACATACAGCCCGTCTGCATGTCACTCTGTGATGTTCATTTTGCAGACATCTCAGTCACTCATGGCGTCAGACTCTGTTCCCTCTCTGTGGCCCTCTCACTCAAGACGGCCTCACACACACTCAATGACCCCACCAGGCGGCCGGCACTCGTCACACAGATCGACAAGCAGCCGCCCACAGAGATCCCCAAAGGCGTCAAGCTGCCGGTCGTCCTGCAGCAGCGCATCGAGCGGGCCATGCAACCCGAGGACCTTCATGACCTTTTGGCCTTCGACATTCCTGACGTGGCGGGGGCCCTCAAGACGGCCTACATGCTGGAGCGATGCAGCGGCCACTGGAAGGTGATGAAGGCCTTCATCGCCCTGGCCTTCATCTACCGGCTCACCCCCAATGCGACGCGGCCCCTCATGGTGTCGGCCGATTCGCTGCCCACCACTTTAGAGTTCGATGAGCTGCCCCTCACCATGGCCGCCTACAAAACATTCGGCCACCTGCTCAGCCACCGGGGGACCAGCCTGGCGTTGCGGCGAGCTGCCAACGGTGCCTATCGGATCGGCGATCATTCGTTTCGTGTGGTGCCGCTGAGTGAGCTGCGGGCTGAGCACCCCTACCGCAGCGGATACAAGGATAGCGACCCCGCCATCCGCTGGGGCCATTATCTCTACCCATCATTCACGGCATTCATCACGCGAACGGTTCTGATACAGTGGTGTTACCAAAAGGGGGTGGTGAGGAAGCCACTGGGAACAGCTCGTGTCGGTCGTGACGACACTCGCTATCGGTCCCTGCTGACGGCACCGTCCATCGAGGGCTACAAGACCGTCGACTACATGTACACCGTACATGTCAGGGGACAGGAGGGCTACTACCGCCGTCGACTCATCGTGCTCAAGGGGACGGGGGGGACCGACACGATCGTGGCCTTTCTGTGGGTGTCCGATGGCTGCATCAGCCTCTTCACGACTGAGGCGCCGACAAAGGGCAGACACGTTGCAACTGCGGCGGCCGCCCGCCCTCTGCTGGCCAGCTATGGGCTGGATCAGCGTATGCTGGGATAGATCAATTCGATGACGAAATACCGGTGAGGATGGATGGGGGGGAGGGAGGGGGGCTGTAGGTTGTGAGGGAGAGAGAGTAGGTATGACCGTCATCTCATTTCCTGTGTGCCGTGCTGCGTTGATTTCTGTAGGTGTCGCATTACTCTGTTGGCGTGACAGTGGGGCGGATTGCTCCAGGTGCCCGTAAGGACGGGTGGGTCTCACCATGAGGGAGGCCTGATGAAGCGGGGGTGGTAGACAAGGTGGTGCTGTGGGTCCGCAGTGACCGTAGCAACCCCGGCCGTGATGTAGGTCCCTCCCTCTCTCCCGTCTCGCTTTTATTCTCCCCGTGCGTGTGACAGCCGGTGGTGCGTGTTGCCAAGTCACCCCCTTTTCTTCCTCTCTGTCCACCTGTCTGCCTGCCCGGTGTGCGGGTGAGGTTGCGAGTCTTCCTTGCAGACACAGAGAGGCTTCGTCTGACTTGATTACATGGGCGTGCGAGTGAGGAAGGTGGTTTGGTGTGTCGTCGAGATGCCTGCCTGCATAGAGGATAACTGTAGTCCCTATGATCATAAAACAACCTGTGTGTGTGTGTTTATATATGTGAATGCGTGAATTGTCAGACCGGTGTTGGTTGCACCTGCATTGCGTGTGTGTGCTGCGCAGTCTGTGACTGATTTACAAGTGCTGATTGCCAGGGAGGTGGCGACACGAACAGTAACAAATACACTCATTGTGCTGTTCCATCCCTCCATCCATCCATTCGTTCATTCGTCCGTCATCGACTGACTGACTGACTGAGTAATGCATCTCCCGCACAAAGTCACAAATACATCCAGCGTCGCTGTGTTGTGAGTGACCGCCACGACTCGCTACGACGGCACTCGCATCATGCATCACGTTCCGCTACGTCATGAGGCGAGCCAGTATCATCATCCACACAACACCGTCCGTCTGTTTTGACGATGTGTCACGACAGACGGACGGACAGACAGACACACAGACACCCAGACAGAGAGACAGACAGACAGACAGACAGAGACACGAACGCCGCCCTTACCAGGTATGAAAGCACGCGCATCAGGAATGCAGTCAGTCAGTCAGGTCATCCGGTCCGGCCCCCTTTAATTGTCCAACAAGAAGCCTGACGGCCCCGTATACACACACATGCACACACCCCCACCCCACCCCACCCCACCCTGTCTGCCGTCGACATGCGACGTCCATTCCATGCAATTCCCATCTATCTACTGCTATCCATCCCATCCCTAATGACTGGACTGGGTGAGTGAGTTGTCCGGGCTGTGTGCTGCGTGCTGGTGTACGTGACATGTTTCGCCTACGTAGGTGCAGACACAGACACAGACACAGAGACAGACAGACCAGTAAGAAAAAGTTCATGCCATAAAGACCAGCACCAACACACATCCACACGCGCCAATGAATGCCTAGAGGCCATCGATGAAACTCTCAGCCACGGCGACCTTCCTGCTGGCCACGGCCGCCAGGTTGCCCAGCACCCTCAGGCTGGCCCCTCCCCCCCGCGTGGCCATCACCTGGTCGCGAAGGTCGACCTCCATCTCGCCAATCCTGACTGTCGGCCGGTAGTGCTGCATGGCCTCGCTGATGGCACGCTGAAGGAACTCCTGGCCTTCATCGGTGGGCGACGAGACGAGGGTCATGTTGTAGCCC